TCTCCTGGCTTCTCAAGTTGGAAATTTGGCTGTAAAACTCCTCCGATGTTTATAGCAGTGAGGTTGAGTAAGCTGAGGAAACTTCTTGAAGCTGCTGCTCGGATGGAAACCTGACTGTTGTCATGCTGTCTTTAAATCACCTGATACATTAATGACAGGAAATAAATTTGATTGCAGTGTTGGATTTTATTGTGTGTTTTTTTCTTCCACCAAAATAACCAACTGCTGCTTTATTTATCAGTGTATTTTTAAGGACTGAATTAGCCACCAAACATATAGTGGCACCAAATAGCAACACCAACATTCTTATTTGGATTGTCTGCCTGACATTATTTCCAATATATCTTTGCCCATAAGTAGTAATATTTTAGAGTGCTGTCTACATTGACCTTCTAAGGCTTAAAATTATATGATGTGCATATGCACTCAATTTAACATAAGGAGAAAGGTATAATTGCTGTGTTTCAAGATGGTCCTTTTTATTAAAGGCAGTGTTAACGCCAACCTCTTCCTGTAGGTTGAAAGGTGGACCTCACAGTTAAAATAATAACACACTCTTTGCTGTTCTGGGTGTTGTTCCTCCTGTTGTGAGTTTGTTTCCACTTCTTAGGATCCTCTCTAAAGTTCAATTCAATTCAATTTTATTTATAAAGCCCAATATCACAAATCACAATTTGCCTCACAGGGCTTTACAGCATACAACATCCCTCTGTCCTTAAGACCCTCACAGCGGATAAGGAAAAACTCCCCAAAAAAAACCCCTTTAACGGGGGAAAAAAAAACGGTAGAAACCTCAGGAAGAGCAACTGAGGAGGGATCCCTCTTCCAGGACGGACAGACGTGCAATAGATGTCGTACAGAACAGATCAGCATAATAAATTAACAGTAATCCATATGACACAATGAGACAGAGAGAGAGAGAGAGAGAGAGAGAGAGAGAGAGAGAGATGCAGGTAATGACAGTAGCTTACAACAACATTAATGAAAGTAATAATATTATAGTTATAGTTCTGGCTACTGTGGTACAATATGTTGAAAGTATGTATTAATATCAGACAGCATACTTGTGTGACAATAGTCATATGTGTATAATAACAGTAGAAGTATGACTAATGACTAATGATGGCAGCAGCAGCAGGAGGCATCTGGCAGGACCACGGCAGCAGCACAACCACACACGTCACACTGTCCAGGCACCGCTGCGGTATGAGTTATTCTGAGAGACAGTGGAGCACAAAGGCTCCGGAGAAGAAGCCGAGTTAGTGACATCCAGAATGGCCGAGTTAGCAAGATGCAGTAATAGGATGAGAGTGAGAGAGAGAGAGAGAGAGAGAGAGAGAGAGAGAGAGAGAGAGAGAGAGAGAGAGGGAGCCCGGTGTATTATAGGGGGTCCTCCGGCAGACTAGGCCTAAGTCAGCCTAACTAGGGGCTGGTACAGGGCAAGCCTGAGCCAGCCCTACCTATAAGCTTTATCAAAGAGGAAAGTCTTAAGTCTAGTCTTAAATGTGGAGACGGTGTCTGCCTCCCGGACCGTAACAGGAAGATGATTCCACAGGAGAGGAGCCTGATAGCTGAAGGCTCTGGCTCCTGATCTGCTTTTGGAGACTTTAGGGACCACGAGTAACCCTGCGTTCTCAGAGCGCAGTGTTCTGGTGGGATAATATGGCACTATGAGCTCACTAAGATATGATGGAGCTTGACCATTTAGAGCTTTATAAGTTAACAGTAGGATTTTAAATTCAATTCTGGATTTTACAGGGAGCCAGTGCAGAGAAGCTAAAACAGGAGAAATATGATCTCGTTTCTTAGTTCCTGTTAGTACACGAGCTGCTGCATTCTGAATTAGCTGGAGAGTTTTTAAGGACTTACTAGAGCTACCTGATAATAGAGAGTTACAGTAATCCAGCCTTGAGGTAACAAAAGCGTGGACCAATTTTTCTGCATCTTTTCGGGTCAGGATAGGCCTAATTTTCGCAATATTACGCAGATGAAAAAATGCAGTCCGTGAGGTTTGCTTTAAATGAGAATTAAAAGACAAATCTTGATCAAATGTTACTCCGAGGTTTCTTACGGTAGTGCTAGAGGCCAGAGCAATGCCATCTGGAGAAACTATGTCATCAGATAAAGAGTCTCTGAGTTGTTTGGGGCCAAGAACAATAACTTCAGTTTTGTCTGAATTTAACATCAGGAAATTGGTGCTCATCCAATTTTTTATGTCTTTAAGGCAGTTATGGAGTTTAGTTAATTGATTACTTTCTTCTGGCTTCATCGATAAATACAACTGTGTATCATCCGCATAACAATGGAAATTTATAGAGTGATTTCTAATGATGTTACCTAAAGGAAGCATATATAGAGTAAATAGGATTGGTCCGAGCACAGAACCTTGCGGAACTCCAAAACAAACTTTGGTACGTAAGGATGATTCATTACGAACGTCAACAAATTGAAAACGATCAGATAAATAAGATTTAAACCAGCTTAGTGCTGAACCTTTTAGGCCAATTAAGTGATCCAGTCTCTGCAGTAGAATTTGATGGTCAATTGTGTCAAACGCCGCACTAAGATCTAATAAAACAAGAACAGAGACGAGTCCTTTGTCTGAAGCAATCAGAAGGTCATTTGTAATTTTAACTAGAGCTGTCTCAGTGCTATGATGCACTCTAAATCCTGACTGAAATTCCTCAAATAAATTATTATCCTGGAGAAAATCACACAGCTGGTCTGCGACTACTTTCTCAAGGATCTTTGACATAAAGGGAAGATTAGATATTGGTCTATAGTTGGCAAAAAAAAAGTCAGCTTATCCCCAAATTCTAAACTCTTTTCAGAGACCAGATAACATTATTTTGAAACTGTCATAACATCCCTGCTGCATCATTTAAAATAATTTTGCATTTTCTCTTTTTAAATAAACATCCAAACACTCAGCATTTGATTTCCTAACAATCTCTTTATGCTTGTTCATGTTTACTGATTATTGTCATTGTTGATTATCTTCTTAATTCATTGTTTTGTCTGTAAAATGTTGGAAAATAGTGAAACTGCCCTTTATTATTCTCTTCAGTCCAAATAGACGTCTTTTTTTTTTAGGGGGACCATCAGTCTGAACTTCCAATATATTCAGTTTAATGTCATTTAACAAAAAATATCATCAAACATTGATGTGAAATCAGCAGGTATTTCACACAACTATAACTGTCGTTAGAAAATAAAAACGGTTGTAGATTTTCTTTCTTTCCTTTCCTCTCTCAGTCCTTCAGTTGGATTATAAAGTTATTTCCCAACTGTCAGTCTGAGGCTTTAAAAAGTCGTGTTTTTGTAAATATTAACAGTGAAACTCTGATGAATCTTTCTGAAATGCTCCTCTGTAGCAATGATCTTCTGACTGTAAACTGTAAAATCTGGAGGTTTCTGTGTTCCTGCAGAATCTGGGTCATGTAAACATCTTTCCTGTCTTTGATTTCCTCCCAAAACGTCTCTGAAATGTTTCCATGTGTCAGCTCCCTCCCTCTCCTCCTCAGTCCTGGTCAGTGGGAGTAAGAGGGAGGGGGCAGGAGGCCTCTAGATGAGGATTTAAACCATGTGATGCTGAAAGCAGCTCGCTCATGTGACGACGAGAACTCCAGAGGGAAAAATGGTTTTATCAGACAGAGAAATGAGATGAGAAAAGACGAGATTCGTCTGTTCACTATTCGGACTCCAGGCCGAAAGCAGTGACTCTGAAACTGCTCGTTCCTTGAGTGGAGGTTGGTTTACGTGTCGATAAAGTAATTCAGACTTAAGTTTTGAAAACTTTTATCTCAGTATCCATTCAGAAACAAGATAACCAACCAACCATTATTATTTTTAAAAGTTTTAAAATCTTACAAAAATTCCAGAAAACAATCAGAACAAAAATTCTTTTTTTAGTTTCTCAGATGTTAAATGTATCAGAGAGATTCAGTTTATTGAGTTATAAATCAGAGAAAAGTGGGGTTGAGTTTTTGCTTTGAGAAATTAATTCAACCATAATTTGATTCAGGTGTTGTGTTTGAAAATGGCCCCAAAAATGACTTGTGTATGTGCAACAGAGTGAAAGTCTTTCACAGTTAAAAGTTCAGTTTGATGCCTCTGCTGCAGGACTAAGCTGCACGGATCATTATTCATTTTAAACTGTGATATACTGCATTAGAGATATTAAAAAAAATGTGTTTGACATGTGCTCATGGACAAAAGGCTCGTGTTCATGACAGAGCGATATGTCATGAACACGAGCATGGCATGGCGTCCTACTCAGCTGAGCTGTAACATTAGCTAGTTCTGTGGTGCTAGGTGAGCTAGCAGTAGATGGATGCTTCCTTCCATGCGGTGATGCGGTTGGCGGGTGTAGTTTGGCATAAAGGAAACAGTTCCTACATGAAACTGCTCACAACCAGGTCTGTGGACTATCTTGAGTAACCAGGTCATGAGTTCTGGAAAGAGACATTGCTGTTGAGTTATCAAGTTATTAAATGCTCAACTCAAACTGAAACTATGTAGACTGATAAAAAGCGCTACAGGTAAGAGGAAAAATATCTATTTTTGATTTCTGAGTGAACATTTTAAAGAACAGGGTCCTGGTTCAGGGTGTGTTCAGGTTCATGTTATGTTAAGGTTCAGGTTCGAAGAAATACAAAGGGACCTGTAAACAGACCTGTTTAATGAATGTAGCGTCAGATAACATGGGGAGCTTCATCATCAGGCTGCTGTCTCCACGGTAACTCAACACCATGTCTATGTGGTCCTTAGGGTGACAGGGCCAGTCGACCCTCTGGTGGACAGACTGCTGAACTGCAATTTGGTTCATAAGACCTTTAAATTGAATCTTTAAAAGTTTTTTTTTTTTAAACTAACAAAAAAACACATAAATTCTGCTTCAGCTCTTTTCAAGTCCTTTTTGAAAATGTCTGATTTAACAAAATGGATTTGTTTTGATTTTGGCTGATGAACTCGGCTGATGTTTCTTGTATTTCTTTCAGCCGGAGCGTTTGCGTCCTCAGAGGGAGCTGGTCAAGTCTCTGCTCTGCATTGGGAAGCGTTTGGCAACACTGCCCACCAAAGAGCAGAAGACCCAGCGGCTGATTTCAGAGCTGTCGCTGCTCAACCACAAGCTGCCGGCCCGAGTGTGGCTGCCCACCGCCGAGCACCAGCACCACGTCTGCAGGATCCCACACACACAGGCTGTGGTGCTTAACTCTAAGGACAAGGTAACACTGAACACACACCTGCAAGACACCCCACACAGGTAACACACAAACAGACAATCGGGTATCAGAGCACCATCCATCAGTTTGTGTTTAGCCTAACTTAGCACAAAGACTGAAAACAGGTGGAAACTGTTAGCTTCTAATCATTTACTGCCACAAAATGAACACATCATTTCATCTAAATTCTTCTTCTTCCTCCTCTTTTTCCTCCTCCTTCCTCCTACTCTTCCTCCTCCTCCTCCTCAGGCTCCGTACATCATCTACGTGGAGGTGTTGGAATGCGAGAGCTTCGAGACATCTCCAGTTCCTGTTCGGATCCCAGAGACGAGGATCCGCTCAGCTCGCTCCGCGGAGAACCTGGACTGTGGTGGTGGCATCACTGTGGCTAACACTAATGGTGGCAGCGGGATGACGTCAGAGCACAGAGCAGGAAGTTTCTCCACCGTCCCCAACTACGACAATGACGATGAGGCGTGGGCCACCGATGACATCGGACAGCTGCAGGTGGAGGTGAGGTCAATGTCACTCTGTAGGACCATTGTAGACAAATTATAAGATACGGAATCATTTTTATTGATTTATTTTGTGTGTGTGTGTGTGTGTGTGTGTGTGTGTGTGTGTGTTGCAGGTGGAGGCTCAGACCAGCAGCTCTGATAACATCAGTCAGTTTTCAGTCGACAGCATCACCAGTCTGGAGAGCAAAGAGCCGGTTTTCATTGCCGCCGGAGACATCAGGTACACACTCACGTACTGTGTACAATAAATACATGTATATTTATACTCTCAGAAACACACACATTAACACACGGTTTATTTACTGCAGGACCTATGAATAAAAGTATTATTGATTAAAATTTTGTTGATATAATTCTTATGCCTAATACCTTATTTACTGTTTGTTCTTGTGATGCTTCTGTTCTCAGACGTCGTCTGTCGGAGAACCTCGCTCACACTCCGACTTCATTCAGGAGAGACCCTGAGGATCCGTCAGCTGTCGCCCTCAAAGAACCCTGGGAGGAGAAAGTCAGGCAAGTCCAGAAATGATTCATCAGCTGTTTGTCACCTGGTTCCTCATCCTGCTGCACCAACGCTGTGTTTATACACACACACACACACACACACACACACATACACACACATATATATATATATATATATATATATATACATGTTTACCTACAGGAGGATCAGAGAAGGCTCTCCATACGGTCACCTGCCAAACTGGCGACTGCTGTCTGTCATTGTGAAGTGTGGAGACGACCTGAGACAAGAGCTGCTGGCCTATCAGGTCCTTCGACAGCTGCAGGTACACACTCACCTGGAATATTATCACTGCAACGACTTCAAGATCAGATATTGGCTGTGGCTCAGAGGTAGAGTGGGTCGTCCACCAATCGAAAGATCAGCACTTCGATCCCAGGCTCCTCCAGGCTGCATGTCGAAGTATCCTTGAGCAAGACACTGAACCCCAAATTGCTCCCGATGGCTGTTCCATCGGTGTGTGAGTGTGTTAAAAACTGAGTAGCAGGTGGCACCTTGTATGGTAGCTTCAGCCACCAGTGTATGAATGTGTGTGTGAATGGGTGAACGCGACTCGTAGTGTAGAAAGCACTTTGAGTGGTCACTAGATGACTAGAAAGGCGCTATACAAATGCAGGTCCATTTACATAACACAGTAGTGTTTCCTCTATAGCAGGATTTCTCTCTATAAATTAAGTAGAACTTTTAAAAAAAATAATTTGAGTTGTTTCTTTTATCAGACTTTCTGAGGTGTTTTAAAGAAATATTCAGCAACTATGAAACACACTTTAAAACCAAACTGCAGTATTTGTACTTTAACTGTGTATTACTGCATTGTCTCCCACAGAAAGACAGCTTATGTAAAAGAGTACTACATCAATTTAAAGCTAGATTATAAGATAGCCATGGCTAACCTTAGCCAACACTAAGGCTAACTTTTGGTAACTGATTTTCTCCTCATTCTTTGTAAATTAAATAATTATCCTGTTAGAAGTTATATTAATTATTCGCCATCATTAAATTCATAATAAAAAAGAAGAAACAAAACAGCAAATGTAAGATAGCTATATTAAGTGAAAGCTAGCTTATCATATAGCCATGGCTAACCTTAGCTAAAATTAAAGCTAACTTTTGATGACTTTATCCCTCAGTTCCCTGCATATGAAGTGACATTTTTGTCAGTTACCATCATTAAAGATAATAAAGAAGAAGTAAAAAGCCACCATTGTCCTGCCAAAGCTGACTAGCTTAGCATAAAGGTGGCTATTTTTTCAAAATGAGTAGATCTCAGTAGCTTGTCTCTGTTAATTCATTTATTTCAACATAAATACTAATAACACCCTGCAAGAAATTGAAACAATCAAAAGTTGCTTTTCTTAAAACCTTTCAGAAACCTGAGAGAACACAGTTTGTTGGTAGATACTGCAGTTGCAGTATTCGGTGCAGTATCTGCAGTTTTTAGGTACTCTCTGAGTTGTGTGATGATAAGTTTGTATAAAATAATAATTTTGTATAAAATAATCAGCTTAAAAACACATGAAATGGAAACTAGTTCCTGTGTTCTGCTTGTAGAGGGCAACACAAACCATCATAAACCTGAATTGATTCTTATTTTCTTTCTTTTTTCATCATATGGAGAGAATATAGAGAATAATTTAATAAATAGAGTATTTCCTCTTAAAATATAACCTTCTTTATATTTTATAATAAAGGTTTCACACCCAACAGTTGTAAAAATTAGAACCTGGGAGGAAACAAACTGAATTGTTTCTGGTGTCTCCTCCAATCTGCAGGATGATCTGACGCTCTAATTTAATTTTCTAGATTTAAGAAGAACATATTGATTATTGATTAATGACAGGAAGTTGATCAGTAACCAGTGGTGATGTGTGTTTGTGTGTTCAGTTGATCTGGCAGCAGGAAAGAGTTCCTTTGTGGATCAAACCGTATAAGATCCTGGTGATGTCATCAGACAGCGGGATGATTGAACCCGTTCTCAACGCTGTCTCTCTGCACCAGGTACACACACACACACACACACACACACACACACAGAGCAAGTTATCATGGGATGGTACACTTACGCAAGCACTGGACTTAAGTACTTTTACTGCAGTAAAGGATCTGAGTATTTCCTCCACCTCTGATGGTGGGACGCTGTTGCTGATTGGACTCTCGTGTCCAGCTCTTCTTCAGTGAAGAAAATCCCTTTCTGTTAAGGGATTAAACATTCGGTCTTAAAAATGTCAAAAATGATATCATTAATATTTTTAGCATTATTAAGTTTTTTCTGCTTTGGCAGACCTGTCCTGTAAATTACTGGTCTTGTGCTCACCTATGAGAACAAACTGATAACCAAAAGGGAGAAATTTACAAAAACTGTACATGTACAATATCATTTTATTTACTGGTGCTCCCTATCTTTGCATGAATCAGAGTAATGTTAAACTCCCTTTTTGACATTGAAAAAGCAGCATGCATTTAGTAGCAGATCTGCTGAACGTTGAGACCTCAAAAATATGGAGGATTTAGAGACCAAAGAGAGGGTTTTCTGGATCCTTCTCCAGAAAAAATAATTTTTAGAGATTTTGTTCCCTTCAATCTGATGACTTTTAAAGGATCAAGGTAACAAAATAACAAGTCCACTGCAACGGTTTTTTATGTTTCATACCCTAAACTGTTAATTATCGGGAAAGGAAACTATTCGCTCCTCTGGTGTGAACTGGCATTAACTAATATTTATTTGTTAATATTCATTCATTTCATCACAGCGTGCTCAACCGAAAAATGGCAATGGCAGATTTTACAAAATGCTCTTTTCATTTAAAACTTTACATAAAAAACGGGAATTCTTCTTTCCAAAATCTGCTTGAGTATTTCTTTCCCTTGGTACTCTTCATTTCTCTCTCTGTCTCTCACTAACTGAGGAGGATGAGGTGAGAGCAGCTCTCTTTCTCATTGAGTGTATGCCAAAAAAACCCATTTGGTGTTACTGTATTGTTGTCTGGGTGCTACACTTTTAGAGTCATAGGACTTACACACCCTGTACAGCACCAAAAACAGATTGGGATTAGGGCTGGGCGATATAGACAAAAATTCATACCTAGGTATTTTTAGGCTGGATGCCAATATGCAAAATAAATCTTGGTATTTTCAACGAAATGGGCTACATGTTCAGCTGCAAGTCAAAGCCACAATTGAGATGTCACAAGCACTTTTATGAAAACAGACTGTGATCAAAATAAAATGCAAAGATGGGGATTTTTTTCCATTTGAAAATATACAGCTGCACAACATGAAATGAAATGATATAAAATAAATAGCAGGGCTGTACATTAACTTTTTGCAGACGGCACTGGAGCTATAGAGGTTTAAAGGTTTGCAGCACAGGACACAAAACTATAACGTGATCATACAAGTATCAAGTAGGTTTGGAACAATTAAAAATCTTTGTGGGGGGAGTTAAAAAGTCGTTTTCCATCTGTTTGGCCTTTCAAATGAATCTGGTGCTGGAAAATGATTTAATTTTTATTTTTCATTTATTTAGGTTATTAATTATATTTATGCACAAATCATCAAGCGTGAGGCAGAGGGAGGGAGGGAAGAGGCGAGAGACTTTGTCTGTGTTATATACATCTTGTATATGAAATGTCTGTGTTGTTGCTGCATTTTTTAAACATGTCACCTTCATCCAGCCACTGTCTGTGTCACAACTTATACTACAACTACCAAGAAGAACAGCCGCTGACAATCACGTTTATTTAGTCACTTTATTTATTAGCAACAGTGTTTACACAGCTTAGAATCCTGTGTTTATTAGCCACATATTAAAAAAATCAAACTGAAACACAGAAGATAATTTAAGTTTCACATCATGTAGATGTTTGTTGTTTTTGCACACACAGCGCTGATGTGGTTTTGTGTTTCCTCTCCATCAGGTGCGTAAACAGAGTCAGCTGTCTCTGCTGGACTACTTCCTGCAGGAACATGGCAGCTTCACCACAGAAGCTTTCCTTACCGCTCAGAGGAACTTTGTCCAGAGCTGCGCCGGATACAGCCTGATCTGTTATCTGCTGCAGGTCAAAGACAGGTAAGACAGACAGACAGACAGACAGACAGACACACACACACACACTTTAAGATGTTTTTACAGCTTTTTCACCACCACCAGCTCCTCCATCTTTTTGTGCTTTACGCTGTGGGAGAAAAGTGACCTTACAAAGTGAATAGTGGACAGAACAGCAAGATAATCCACCATATTTAGACTGAATTCTGTCTGATCTGAGTTTTTTTTACTTAAATTAGTAATGTTTCCAGTGTCAAGACAAAAACCTGCGTACAGCTAGTATGTAGTCTCTTTAGAGGGAGAAGAATCTTTGTGCTAACCTATGCTAACATCTCTGATGTCTGCAGACATAACGGGAACATCCTGCTGGACTCTGAAGGTCACATCATCCACATCGACTTTGGCTTCATCCTCTCCAGCTCTCCTCGTAACCTTGGCTTTGAGACGTCTGCATTCAAACTCACATCAGAGTTTGTTGATGTGAGTAAACAGGTTTCTCATTGTTTTTGCCACAATGTTGCATCTTAAATGAACTGCAGTGTTGCCTTAGTAGTATTGGAGTCTGAAAATGGGATGGTAAAATGACTGAATGCATGTGTTTCAGGTGATGGGTGGCCTGGACGGTGACATGTTTATCTATTACAAGATGTTGATGCTTCAGGGTCTCATTGCTGCCAGGAAACACATGGAGAAGGTGCTGCAGATAGTGGAGATAATGCAGCAAGGTAACATCGATGTTTCTTCCTCATACTGATGTTTAAGACATAGTATCACCTTTTATTGCATACTGTACTAAAGCCTATTTGTGACTTCTTTATGGCATTCTGTACTATGACATTATAACATACTATACTATAATGTTTTAGAACATACATACTATGAGGTTTTTATGGCATATTATACTATACTACATCACAGCATAGTATAATATGCCATAAAAACCTCATAGTATAGTATTCCATACAAACGAAATAGTGTAATATGTCATAAAAACATCATCGTATGCCACAAAAACATCATAGTATGCCAAAGAACATGTGATGCCATAAAAATGTATAGTATGTACAGTAGTACAGTATAGTATGTATGAAAAAAAGTCATAGTATAGTATGTTGGGTTTTTTTTTTGTTTTTTTTTTAAAGCCATTTTTATGGCGTACTGTTTTGAAAATAGAAACCCTCATACCAACGTTTCCTCTTTAAACTTATATTTCCTTCTCATACCAACATGTCCTTCTTGTTCTGATGTTTCCTCCCATGTGTTTTATTTCCTCCACTAGGTTCCCACCTGCCATGCTTCCATGGCTCCAGCACCATCCGAGGTCTGAAGGAGCGTTTCCACATGTCTCTGACAGAGGAGCAGCTTCAGCTGCTGGTGGAGCAGCTGGTGGACGGATCCATGCGCTCCATCACCACAAAACTCTACGACTCCTTCCAGTACGTCACCAATGGCATCATGTGACCTGTGACAACAACAGCTTGTTCAGACACTGATGTTTAAACTTTTACCAGCTGCTTTTGTTTGGATTCAGCAGACTTCTGATCTTCGCTGGAGTCGGAGAATTTAAATATTCATGGCGCTGTTGGGAATTACTGGATTTGATTTTCTCGTTAACCTCCATTCTGTTTTTCCACGTCTGTCTCTGCAGTCTTTAACGGATTTGTTTTGAATGTGATGGACTGATCGGCACAACAATGAGCTGATCTGATTTCATGTGATCTCTGATTTGGTGTTCTAAATTCATTGGCAGCTGGACAAGTACATCATTTGGGACTTTTCCAGGTCGGGTTTTACATCCTCTGAAGAATTACACCTGGAAGAGAAATGTAAAACTGGCTGGAAGCATCAGAACTCAAGGTTCATCCTGAGATAAATCTCATCAAAAAACTGTTTATTGACTTCTATGGCATTCTACTGGATTTTACTCTGAACCAGCACACGCTTGAGCTCAGCTCAGCTCAGCTCAGAGTGTTCAGATACAGAATGTTTGTCGTGTTTGGATCAGTTTTGAAGGTAAACGATTCATTGAAGGAGAGAAATGATAACTTGATTACTGATACATTAATTTAGTCAGTTATTGACTCAAACTTCGTAGGGTACAGGCACATCAGTAAAATGACAAATTGGGATTTTCGGCTGCTGATCAGACAAAAACATTTGTTAGGTGTTTATATTTTAAAAGTAATTCTGGCAACAAACTTTACTCAACAACTACAGAAGCCAATGGAACTAATGAACAGTACCAAGATAGCCCAATATTTCACTGTTATGTAGTTAATTTAGATTTTGAATCCTCAGAAAACCACAAATCATTTAACTTATCTGCTAGAACTCCAATTAGAATAAAGTTTGACAGCAGCTTAAAAATTTGAATAACATTTTTTTTCCAACCCTACAATATTCAATAGCTTTTACGGTGAAAGAATAAAATCTGAGTGACAGTCCGTTCTGTCACCTCTATGTTTGGTTGTTCTTAAAGAACAGAGCAGTGAGAAAAACACTACATTACAACATTAACTTGATGTTGTTTTCTCTGGATGTTCAGAGAAAAGACAAAACAGCAAAGAAAGAAAAGTGACTGAAAATAATACCACTCTTTAGTTTGAAGTGTTATCTGAGACCAGTTTATCTTCCAACAGAATTGCTTGATGTGTTTAGTTTTGTTTTCACCAGACATTTATCACAATTGTATCTAAAAAAAAAAAAGAAAAAATTAGAATCTAATTTGAGTTTACCCTGGAAGCTAATTCCAGGGTTCTCCACTGTTTGGCTTCATGACTTTTCATCTAGCACCACCATGAAGTCAGAAGTATTAATCCAATACAAGTTCATGGCAAGAAATAAATGGCTAAATAGCCTTAGCTGTACTTGAAGCATGTGAAGTATTAGCACTTGCTAACTGTGAGCATGCATGCTAAAAGTAGTACGCTAAATGCTTGAACCTCTCAAAGCTGCATGTGGGCCTAAGTGCTTAGGTGTTCGTCCACATTAGTGTGACTTTTTTATACTTTTAGAAACATGAACTTAAATTTTTACCTTTTCATTTTAGATCAGCTAATTGAAGAAGATATTGAAGGAAATTTGAATAGTCATTTTGCACAACTACAATTCCAACCTAACAAGCTAAACATCATTTGCTTAACACCAGCATCCAACAGTAGCTATCAAGAATGTGAACATGCTAATGTTAGCATGCGCCTATAGTTGTTTTTTAAATCCAAATATAAACTGTGACCCTGTTTTCAGTATAAGAACGAAGGCATTGTTGAAAGTTACATGTTTTATGTTATATGCTCGGATTTTCCTCCCGAGTGCTGCGCTCAGAGTTGAAATTATTTGAACTTTGACCGTGCCACTGCGCCGCATCTGGCGGTGAGTGAAGCGTGTTGTTCTTATCACGTGAAGGCGGTTGCAGGGGGGCTGAAGCCCATCCCAGTTGACATTGGGCAAGTGGCAGGGTACACCCTGGACAGGTTGCCAGACTATCACAGGGCTGACACATAGAGACAAACAACTATTCACACTCACATTCACATCTACGGGCAATTTAGAGTCACCAGTTAACCTGCATGTCTTTGGACTGTGGGAAGAAGCTGAAGTACCTGGAAAAAACTCATGCTGACATGGGGAGCACATGCAGACTCTGCACAGAAAGTCTCCCCCACCGTGGGTTCAAACCAGGAATCTTCTTGCTGTGAGGTGGCAATGCTAACCACTGCATCACTGTGCCGCCCAAAAGAAACAGGATGTATTATGAATTATTAATTCACTAACAGGCCAAAACCTAAGGAACTAAAAAAGTTGAATAAACGTGACAAGTGTCTGGTGAAAAAAGATAACCAATTAAAATGTAATGTGTCAGCTCATCAATTTATTTAATCTGCATGTTTGTCACTCAGTTATTTTATTTTTTTTCCATGTAGTTTCAGTTTAAGAAAGGTCCCTGTTTAATTTCATTTCATTCACTCAGTTCTGTGTATTTTTGAGTTTCAGTTCACTATACGACATGATGATGATGCTATCATTAACAAAACTCTACGATGTTGAATTAAAAAATAACCTTTATATGGATGAGCAGTAACAGAGCAGACAGGTTTAGGTTAACTGTTTTCCTCCCCTGAGATTCCACCTTACCTGAACGGTTCCCTGCCCTTTTTTGAGCCAAAATGGCTACCAAGCAGTTAAATGATTTGTTGCAGCAGATTTATGCACGAACCTCCTCATCCATTTTCCACTAACTGTATATCTGTGTATAACTCGGAGCTGAAATAATGTGTTACAGTTACGTGTCTGTTAATGATATATTTGCATATTTAACAAACGCTCAATATTCTTCCTCCCTGATTGGCCCCCAAACTACATTCCTGTGATTAACTTTGGCCAATCAGGAGAGGCGGCTCTGCGGATCGGCTGAATGAGAGCGAGAGACACTAAATTTCTGTTTGACAGAAAGTTTATTTTTCTTTATGAGGAGATCAGTTTCCTGAATATGTGAATGTTTTTATACAGAAACAGTCCACTAAAACAAATTGTTTTTTTTCAGACAGATGTGTTCTCAGTATTGATGAGCAAATGGTTTCTTGTCTGTACTTACAGTTACAACAATGTTGTAACTAATGTTGGAAACACTTTCAATGGCTTTATTCCAGTGAAATACTCCAGTGTATTAACATGTTGTTTTTACATAAAGAAATACTGCATTTTTGTCTTTGAGATCTGAGATTAAGTGGGATTTTTTGTGTATTTGTAAACACTCTTTAGTTAACTCACTCGATTAGGTGGCAAACAGTTTGTTCAGTTCTGTAACTGCAGTTTGTTCCTTTATTTTAAATATAGCTGCAGTTACAAACATCACGTATAGAGTGCCCCAGGAATGAGTCCTAAAACCTGAAAATAAGTTAGCATTTTACCACTCCTTGTTCTTGCTTTAAGAGACTGTGTGGAAATGACACAAACATACTTGGCTAGCAACCATTTTAGGCGAGTTATTGTCATTCTAATGGTTAAAGATTCTAATGGTTAGCTCCTTTTTAACTAAAAGTTCCTGTTTTATCTCATAAAAATGTATACGTTGTGTTATATATGCAAATTAATATTTTTTAATGCAAGGCAGACAATTTAAAGTCACATAGCCCTTTAATTAATGCTACCTTCTAGCTAACAAGCTACTGTTGTACATGAGCAGTGACTATAGACTATAGACTATATACACACTACAGTCTACAACAGCAGTGTTGAATAATAATACATTATTATCTACAAACTGTATTTACTGTACTTTCAATCAATATTCCCAGACCACTGTTTCTTCTTAGTCATTAGTTTGACAGTGACTTAGCTAAAATGGTTGCTAGCTTGTTATATTTTTCTATTTTTCTCCACAGTCTAATGTAATGTTTTTTTGTTTGTTTGTTTTTGTTGTTTTTTTTTTTTTTGTCTGTCAAGCTTAATTTTAATTATTTTTATCAATTAGTAGAAGGGCTAAAGCGTGTAGCTGACAAGCACAAAAGTGGAGTACAAGAGCAGTGCCTAGCTTGTTAGCTAGTTAATGACAAACCTGAACACTCTAACAAGCTAGTTAGCCAACTAAAAATAAGTTTATTATTTTTTTAAACACATAATTTCATTTTAACTTTTTGCTTTTTTTAAAAAAAATTTGATTTAATTTTAGTTTTATTTTTTAAAAGAACAACTTGTTAACAATCACAACAAGCTGTTTTCTGTTAGCATCCTGGTGGAAATTTACATTTTATAAACTAACCACATGATTAAAAAGATATTATAAAAACTCTTCACTGGAATAAAGCCAATATTTGGTGTTGTCATTAACATCTAGTTGTTTTTGGTGTTTTGACCACTATTTAAGCACAGATCTGTTAATGTAAAAGCAGCATCCTGTTACTGCCTGCTAACCATTAGCCTGCTACTTATATGCCACCGCGCTTGACCAAGATGCAGCTGTGACTAAAGTTTACCAGATAAGCAACTTAAATAGCAAATCTTTCTTGTTCTTTTCATTTGTGGATATGTATGTATGTAAATGAACTGAGTTAGTTTTCTTGTGAGAAAAAATAGATGCCTTGAGATGTACAGAAGGTACAAACTCTTATCAATGCAACCTGAGGGACGAAGGAGTTCGGGTCTCGGACCTGAGAAGTGCTTTTATATCTTAAGTCTGACCGCTTCAGGGACGAGTTTTGATACTCAGATGTGTTTATCTCCTACACTGGTCTAGACCGAAGTAATGTTAATTTTAATTTACAAGTTACTGTTGTCACATTTAGACAATAAAAACATTTATGATGGCTAAAATAACTAGTAGGCTCCTTTTTGAAGAAGTATCCCCTGATATTGTCTCTAAAATAATAGCTATTAAATTATTTTTTCTTTTTTTTCCCTGAGTGTGGTCTGGTGAATCCTGGGAGGAAAACACTGCGGTCTGTTGAAACTCGTCCCTGCTACTAAAAACCTTTCATTGCCTTGTTTCTTCGTTACATCAGCTCGAACACATTCAAGAATTTCAATGTGAAAAACTCTTAAAGTGCAGTTATCCTGAATGAAAATGTTTTCTGTCATTTGTAAAAGGTTCCTCCATGTTTTTAACTTTAGTTGGTACTAAACATTTAACACTGTAAATCCAGCACGAGGCTCCTCCATCTTAGGTTTGATTTTATCAAGGCATCTTGTGAGTTTCTGTTGAAATCAAGCGGATTAATAAGGGGCTTCAAGTTGTCTTGGTTTCACTGAGAAATGCTAACGATGCTAACATCACGCAAGACAAACTGACGGCTTTATTTTTCACTGTGTGAAGAAAATAACCAACGTGGAAACACTGGATTTCAGTGTGACTTCTGAAGTTTTATAAACAGCATCATCTCCTAACGAGGCAGGAGGAAGCTTCGAGGGGATTATGCAAAGTTGACAAATAATTTCATTAAATTAGGGATTTGAATTAAAGTCAGCTGGAGCAGTAAAAAAAAAAAATTAAAATAACCAGGATGACACAGCTGGAACTCAGTTAAACATCTATCAACTAAAATCTTTACTAATGGTATCTTGTTTGTATTAAAGTAAACATAAATATTGATAACTCACAAATTCATAATTCATATGTTAATTAAGGTCTCATTTGAAGAACAGTGAGAGCTGCTGATATGAAATTACTAGGGCTGCCCACAACCAAGAACTTTCCTAGTCAACCAACAGTCATCATTTAGGGCCATTAGTCGACTAGTCGCCCATATGTGTACGATATTATTATTAAATGATATATTTTGGGTGGGGCAACACAATGGTTTGAGTTGAACGTCTGAGAAAAAGGTATTAACATTGTGCTACATTACAGAGAAATACAAAACCGTACTAATGAACCTTCATTAATATAGGCCTATATTTTATCTACAAGTGCACGTCACACACTGAGCGAGCCGCCTGTTAATGACACTGTCTGCAAAGCAGTAATGACTGTGCTAAGTGGCTAACGGGCATGTAGCTACTTCCATGTTTCAGATGATACGTCATGTTTGTAGTCGACGAATAAAGATGAGTTTACATATCACCTTGGGTTTGTCCTTCACCTTCTCAAAATGATCCCACACTTTGGATTTCCTGCCCGACATGTTATTAATCAGCCTGTGGAATAACCGCAGGTACCAGCCCTGGAAATTAGGGGCTGTACACATGCAGCGTCTTTAACTGCCTGGAAAACACGAGGTCGGGTACTGGGTGCTACTCTTGTGCCTTTTTTTGTGCCAGCTTTTAAGAGTGTGGTGGCAGGTTTCGTCTGCGGTTGCTAAGCAACTTTAACAAGCGGCCTATTTACCTGAAATCCTGAGTGCAGAGCTGATCTTCTTCCAGGTGCTGTTTATAAGTGTGTAGGCCTGTCGACTGTGGGACAGATGTAAAGCTCTGGGTAGCCCTGCACTAACATGATCAACTTTTCCATATTTATCAGACTGAATATTTACAGAAGAAGGGAAAGATATCTGTCGGCTGTGATTGGTTTGTAATGTGACTCCTGTCTGACTTTCTGAGCGTGGCCTCTTCCTGTGTGTGTCCTTTCAAATTAAATTCCCACATGGTCCAGTTATACAGGTTTTGATTTATTTTGATAAGGCGCAGTTCCTAATAGAGTTTCACTTTTTTTTTTCTTCCTGCAACTAAGCGACCAATAACCTTTCTGGTCGACGAACGTTTGGTTGACATCAGGGGGCAGCCCTAGATATTACAAAGACGAGTCAAAGTAAGCACATTCACCAAAGACAAAACATGTGGAGACATGTTGTGATTATAATTTAGCATCTCATAATAATGAGATTTGTATTTCATAATTAGAGAGTAAGTATTAAAACCATCACAAGATCTTTGTCTTGTAATTTTGAGACACAAATCTTAGAATTACAACACAATTTCAGTATCATCATGAAGTAAATATATCTGGTAAATACCAGGTATCTCCTCATAACTATTAGATTGTCATAAGTAAAACAAGTCTTAGGTGCATCGTAATTAGGAGTAAAATCTCAGATATGGACTATGTAATCATCTTTTAATTGATGAAATATGAAATTATGACTTTTTCTGTAATCATGAGATAAGGAATTATGAGACAAGCATATCACAATTATGAGATGTCAGAACTCTGACTGTAATTAATATATTTTCCTTTAATTATGAGGTGAAAATCTCAGATCATCACAAAACATCTCCAATTTCTTTTCTCTGGTGAATAAAGTGCACAAATCATTAATTTGAACATTAAATAATAAATAAAGTAAAACTATTGGTTAAACTGCAGCCCGCTGAACAACAGACGGTTGTTGTTACGTGTAATAATCAATGATCAATGCTCCTGCTCGTCTTTAATGACGTCATTTACATTTTCATTTTTATAACCTTCAGTTTATTTGAGTTTCATGAGTCGAAGGTCTTGTTTTACAAACTATTATTTGGAAATTCCAGATCATTTAAAGACTGTTTAGTCAATGAAGATGAAGACATTTGCTGTTTTCTGCAGCTCCACCTTCCTTCACCACCACCTCCTCTTCCTCCTCCTCATAGAGACTCAGAATGCAAATCTGCTCCTTTAAATGGAAATGCAAAAACATTGTTCAGATTCACTCGATTTGTTTCACCGGCTGAGTTTCCACAGTGGCTGAAGGACGAAGGTCAAATCCTTCAGCAAGTTGTTGTTGTCTGTGTGTCTACTGAAGTTTTTAAATCACGTACAAAACAGTCACATGTTCGTACTAAACTGCATGAAACTCATTCAATAAAACTGAAACCTGGTTCATATGTGTGCTGGAGTTTGTGTGATTATCTTAATGCTTTAGATTTGAAGAATATGAGTACGGAGCTGCAGCGATTAGTCTAGTTGTTATTCAGTCAGTCCACAGAAAATTGATCAGCAACTATTTTGACAATCAATGTATAGTTTTAGTCAACAATCACTGGTTTTACAAGGTTCTTACAGCTTAATGCCTGGTTCACACTACACAACATTTCTATCCTCTCTGACTGTCACGATGTCACATTACGCTATTGTGGAGTCATAAAATTGTACTGTCACTTGGTGTGGACCATTATGACCATTACACAGTGGTCCACACCAATCATCCCCGGTCGTCTTTCACGACATGTGTGATGTCATCGGGTTATTCTTGTCCTATTTTTATTATTATTACTATTATTTCAGTCACTGTGTCTGTTCATGTGCCAGCCGAAATGTTATTGTAGTCACCTAAAAACTGCCAGCAGATGGCAGGAGCTACATTTGAAGTACCACGTGCAAACTGACAGTCACTGAATCCTTCACAACAAGTTCCTACAAATGTTTCACAATAAAAGCCTATTTAGAAAATGAAGGGATTCTTTCAACCGAAGTTATAAGGGGCTTTAAATTTGAAACAGATACAGGAAGTGTTGAGTTTAAAATGATGGCATGATGCATTAACTTTATAGAAGCAAACAGGAGGGATAAAAAGTAAAAATATCAAAAAACAGAGGGAATAATAAATAACGGCCCTTTTATAATGTAGTCTGTGTCAAATGAAGCTGGGAGCCTCTGCAGCTGTGTTAAGTAAAAGCCACTATTTTTTTTTTATCTTATTACTTTATGTCCATCTCCATTATAAAGAAATAACATTCTTTGCTAGCTTGATGCTAATGGCAGTACTTACCGGTTTGATAAAGTGCCTCTGCTGTTTCACCCCATCATTTTTCCTTTTTTATTCTGTTGTGGTAACATCCCTAGTGGAAATATCAAAAACCCTGGGGTGTGTTGATGTACAGTTGTCCATGGCAGCAGATCGCTCTGTGGTCAAAGTGAAGGCTGTGACAAGAGAAGTCGTTAACGACAAAAAGAAAATCAAACATGCTAGATTTGGTTTCAGTCATTACAGGGCTGAGTAGGCAATGTAAAAAAAGTAAAATTTTTAGCTTTAACTTAAAGGTGTTCAGAGTTGGGGCTCGTCTAACATCATTTGGGAGGTTATTCCAGGTTTGTGCTGCATGATAACAAAACGCTGCTCCACCATGTTTTGTTCTGACTGTTGGGGCAGTCAATAGGCTGGCCACAGATGTCTTCAGGGTCCTAGGAGGTTCATATGTCACAAGCATGTCAGAGATATATTTGGGCACTGAGCCACAGAGTGATTAGTACACAAACAACAGGATTTTGAAATCAATTCTCTGAGTGACAGGTAGCCAGTGCAAGGATTTTAAAACTGGAGTAATGTGGTAGGGCTGTCACTTTTTCTAAAAATCAAGGTTGAACGAATTTAAAATGACCCGTAATAAAATAATAAACCGTTTAACCGTATAAATTCGAATTAAACTCCTCTTAAACACCACAACCTCATTATTTTCATTACTTTATTAACTTTACAGCCTGTCTAACATCACATTCCTCCATTCTTCTTGCAATCAAATGTTATTTTTTAACAGCTGCATTAACTTATTGGTTTCTTTATGTCTGTCACTTCTACCTTACTCTCAATAAAACAAAGTTGCTGAAGCTGAGTGTGCTGAATAATACGCAGTCAAATGAGCCTGTACACTTGGCGCTGCTCTGCTCGTCCGTGGTGCCTCTGCCTCCGCTGCTTCAGTTGGGTGGTAAGCTAGCAGGTTTGTTGTCACTGAAGAGAAAAACAGCTGCTTTTTACAAAGTCGACAAACAGCCTTATCTTTATGCGTGACTTTGCCATCTACATCCATTCTCAGATGTTTTGGTGTCGTGATTGTCCGCTCAGGACGGCTTTGCTATCTATTGTCCTCCATTTTCGTAGCAAAACAACGCATTAACGTTAGCTTTGTTTAGTGATAGGTCAGTAGGGCATGCAATAAGTCAACATGATAGTGAATTCTTAGAGCGCCCTGTTGGATCACGAGGCAAACTACATCAAATTGTCTGATGCGCCTATAGACTGCAGCTGACATTTCGAACAGGTAATTACAGCTCGAACATGAACTGAACTGAACTGAACTGATGGACACAAAGTACTTCCTGTCATGAAGATATGATTTGAACCATTTAAGGACAGTTTCAAAAAGTCCCACCCAGTTTTCTAGTCCAAATAGTCCACTGTGTCAAAAGCAGCACTTAAATCCGACTGCACTAAAGACTCGGTTTTCTGTGTAGGCATACACCCGAATGTTGTTAAGAGATCTGTTGCTGCTGACCCTGGTGCTGGTGTCACAGATGGAAGTGGAAGCGTTGCTTAGATAAAGATAAAAACAGAAATGGGAAATTCCTGTCATTTCTTGGCGTTTTTCTGTGCAGTTTTATGTTTTTCACACTGGATGTGGGATTCCACTGCCTTGATTGCCATTGTGCTTCGTCTGAAATAGAATTTGTGCCTGTAATGCACAAAGCCTCATATGCATTGCCTTGGCTTGTATCCAGGGTGTCTGCATGCATCAGACACTTAAATTAAAGACCTTTTCGAGATGATTATTAAACAAATGTGTTCCAGTACAGAAGTAGTTGTTATGTAGGAATATGGTTATTATAGTGAGTTTGGTTAATCTACATTTTGCCAACAGGTAAGGGCATGTATAAAGTAAACAGACAGTATTAGGTTGAGTGGTAGGTTTGAAGATTGGTAAAATCAGAAATGTGGACTTAGACACTGAAGAGCATGACTCATTTTGACAAAATGAAAAGACGGATAAATCAAATAAGATCAAATGTTTGTGGCAATTGAGACCTCACAAATTCAGGTTTAAGACCATTCAAGGCCTAATATTTATAGATTTTAATTTAAGACATTTAAGACTTTTTAAGGAACTGCACAAACCCTGTTTTATTTTCTCAGATGTGGAGTCTTCTTCTTCATAAATAAACTGAATATCTTTGCTTTGTGGAGTTTTGGTAAGAATGCATATTTTTAAGTTGTGGGAAATCATGACAGACATTTGTCACTATTTTCTGACATTTTAAAGATAAAATGATTAATCATCATAATCAAAATGATCAGATACTGACTTAAAAATGTGATAATAAAAAAGAGGTCTAACTTGGTAAGAAAATCCAAATCATGATTTTGAGTCACTCAGTCATAAATACAAAATAAAAAGTTAAAATATTTGAATGCTAAAACTTTTCTGTTTTTTACACTGCAGTATTAGTACTTATACTTAAATATCAGAATGCTGAAGTAAGCAAAGATACCGTCTTAGACTATTTTATCAGATAAATTCTGCCTGTGTTCAAACGTGGAGTCTGTTAAAAACAAATGTTCATATTAAGTGTATACTTACCTTATGAACAGGTGTGTTTCCACACAGGTAAATTCAGACTGATGACCACCTAACTGGATACTGAAGAAACTATTTACATGTACCAGATGTACAGAAGCTTGTTTACACTAGTATTAGAAAGACATGGAGAAAATGCCAAAAGTGATGATACATATGAATATTCTCATAGTCAAAGTAGTAAAAAATTATTACTTTAAGTCAGAAATGTGTCTTTAAAGTTTAAATTGTAATATTAGTTAAAGTGATATAATAATGAAGCCAAACTGTTTTCCCTTCAGCAGAAATGTTGGCTTTTTAATTTAGGATACTAAGTAAAAATTGCAACTTTAAGTAATCTTTAACAACATTTTACGAATGTAAGACATAGGTGTGACTGTAAGACAAACTAAAATGTAAACTGAAATTACAGAGTCAAAAATGCGACTTCATGTAACCTTTTCAGGAAGACTTTCACATACGATACGAAGACGTAACAGACTGTAAGACAAAATTTAAGTTTAATTTAAGACAGTGAGTCAAAATCGCAAAAAAAAAATAAATAAAAACATTTCATAATATTAAGATAGAATTCTGACTGTAAGACAAAATATAATTTTAATTCAAGATACAGTAAAAATTGCAATTTTAAGTACATTTTCAGATACTAATATGTACTTCTGACCAAGACAAAATGTAAGTTTAATTTAAGATACAGAGTCATAATTACAGCATTAAGTAAATTTTTATAACATTTTTGATACTGAGACATTATTGACTGTAATAAAAAAATAAGTTTAATTCAAGATACTGAATCAAAATTATAACATTAAGTAAATTTTAATAACATTTTTAGATATTGAGACATTATTTTGACTGTAATAAAAAATTAAGTTTAATTTAAGATACCGAGTCATAACTACAATATTATGTAAATTTTAATAGCATTTTTAGATACTGAGACATAATTCTGACTGTAATAAAAAATTAAGTTTAATACAAGATACTGAGTCAAAATGGCGACTTTAAGGTAATTCTAATTACGTTATAAAGATATTAAGAAGGAATCCTGACTGTAAGACAAAAATTAAGTTTAAATTGAAGATACTAGGTCATAATTACGACCTTATGTAAATTTGAAAAACATCTTAAAATACTGAGAAATTATTCTGACTGTAAGACAAAATTAAAGTTTAATTTTGGTTATGTCAAAATTGCAACTTTAAGTAAATTTGTGAGATATTTAGTCAAATTTGTGATTTATTTTATTTATTTAAAATTAGACAGTAAATAAAAATTATGACGTTCAGGTTGGTTTAGATCATTAAAAGGTAAAACCAAGTAATAATGTCCTGATACGTTTGTCTTAATGTGTGTAAAAAACAACAAACAAATGAGTCGACACCACACAGAGTTTGATTTTGCGTTTACTGGTAATTTGACATCATGACAAATTAAATACAAAGCTTAAATAGAGCATGGCAGCAGTCCGACAGTCAGACACGTTTAAAAACACCGGACGACAACAGGAAGTACCGGCAATGTTTCAAGTGCTAAATGTTCCCCAACAACATCATCTGATTAAAGAAAACATTTTTTTTTAACTCAGTTTGAGACGTTAACGTTGAACGTGGCTTTAAATAAGTCATTTTAAATCAGGACTCTTACCTTCACTTTGAAACCAAAAAACTGTCCAAAGAGGAAAACCTTCAAACAAGGTCTCAACAGTTTGTTAAACATCTGCTCTTCAGCAGCGCTACGACGAGGGTTTTTATTCCAAAATGTGCTTTTAGTTTGTCTTATCTCAGTCCCAACACCAGAGTGATGAAGTGATGCAGAACATTAATTCTCAAGTTTGTTCCCACAACAGATTATAAATGTACGGAAGCCCAGTGACGCCCAGAATACAGTAATTAGATCTTAGGAATGGCAAAAATTAAAGCACTTATCATAAATCACATGACTTTCTAGGTCATTATTATTGTGAGGCACTAAAGTAAAAAGATTACAATTTGAGTTATTAGGTCAAAATTATGAGATATTAATGAATTTGACAGGATACTTGGTCATAAGTATGAGATTAAAAGTCAACCTTTTGATATATTAGGTCAAAATTATGAGATATAAAGTCAGAATTATGAGATGAAACATGTTGGACTAATTTCTAAATTATCAGATACTGACTTAAGTCATAATTTTAGATTTGGTCATAATAATTTTGAGGCTTTCAGTCATAAATTCAGAATAAAAAGCTCAAACTTTGACTTGGAACATAATAATTTCTAAGTATTTTTATTTTTGTCATTTTATCTATTCATGTCAGGTTTGGGCTTCCATACTGTTGATAAATGAAGAAAATAAGCTCTGCAGTGAACAGAAGACATTTTATATGAATGAGATCAACACATCTGTCACGTGTATAAAACCTGTGTGGGACAAGCGCTGGAAGTTGGCAGTAAACGCATCCACTTTTTTTTTCTGTGATCACATATTTGGCGATTTAAATCATTATTTTGTTCATTTTTTCCTCTGAATGTATTTCTTAAGTGGATGATGTTATATTTTGGTATTAAATATTAATGTATTTGAAGTATCTGGCACTCCCCCCCCCCAACATTTTTAAAACATATTCAACAGCTTGAATACTTCAGGTGAGAATTAAACATTTCTAATTTTAATCTTCGAACAAAATGAGAACATTAACTGGCTGTCAGATCATATGTTCTGCATTTTAGGGGTGAGTCCGTGTACACGTGTTGGAGATCATAAACGGTTATGAAAAATGAGTACACAAAAAACATTTTTGTTTTTAGGGGGGAGGGGGGTGATACTAATTGTTGACTAACTGTGATAGACTGTGTTACCTTCTCCAGTCTGGCGCTCCGAACCGTAGTTGGGAGACACTGGTTTTCTGTAGATTATCTTTACAACTTGGCTCGTTGCTGGTGACTAGCTCTAGGAGTCAAGACCAACTCTGCTTGAAGAATGAGGATGCAGAACTGATGTCTGTGCAGAAGCACATTTATTTCTCCTCTACAGTAGGAAAACATAACATAACGCAGTGCCTTCTCACAGAGACTATGCTGTAACTGGAGCCTATCTAAACACTGTAAACAGACTGCAACCACCCGTAGCATGAACAGTACTATTTTCACGGTGCATTGCCGTCCGTACACTATACGCCACTTTACTTCCCACAACATCTACTACGTCACACCCACACGGCCACTGTCTTAAAGCGAAGGGCTGGCTGGTAACAACTGTGAATATGACAAGAAATGGTGTGAGACCGGGTTTGGCAACAGGCCAGTAGCCTACGTGCTCCGTTCTATTAAAACGGTGCGTTGGTTAAATTGCCGGTTCAGTTGGTATTTGGATAACTGGGGCTTTACTGGTATAATGCTATTGCACCACCCAGTTGTGAAACCCGTGTACACATTTACACGAAAAAAATTACCCACTCTAAACGTTTAGAGATTTTTGTACACGAACTCACCCCTACTGCATTTATTAAAAACACACAAATCAGCGGAAATCTTATGGGACTTTTGTACTGAATCACCTCTGGATTTTAACTGTGTTAACTCCTACTGACCTCCTGGGTTAACGTTTAGCGTCATTTACACTGAAGCGTATTATTGGACAGGATCAGTTTTACCAGATGCGGCTGGACATTTTAATGTTGTTGACTTAAATGGAGCTCACTCCTAAACCGGTATCGCTACCTCTTCTGGTGAAACTGATCCAGAAAAGAGATTTTTTTATTGAAATACAGATTGAATCAACAGATTTCGACCAGTTTCCCTTCATCATTTTTAAGATACCGCTCTCTAATAACCAACAGCTTTATTAATGGACAGTAAATATTCCTAATGCTCAGTTATGTCAGTTATAAGACATAAATAATCTGTTTTGGCTGCAGTTAATCCTCCAGCAGGACATTTACAAAATTTATTTTCAAAATATTTCAAACTACACACTCGATGGATTATAATACAAAGCCTTTATTATTAAAGATTTATTAACTGCAGCTGACTTGTTAACTTTGCTAATGGCAAAAGAAAGTGAGAAATCTGTGGCACTTTCTCAATGACTTATCAATCTTTAAAACCGCAGAACTGATATCTAATCATTTTATTAATGACTAGACTCCAGCTGCAAGTAGTGATAATATAATCTGATGATTACTTTTCAGATCATTTAATTAACTGTTTGTATATAAAATGGCTTGTTTTGTCTGACCTACAATCCAACTAAAAAATACTCACTTTACAGTAAACAAAAAATTATCAGTATTGATATTATTATTATTAATAATAGTAATAATAATAATAATAACAACAAGGCAAAGAAAAGCATTGAATCTTCAAATTTAATAAGGTGAAATGGTATTTTTTTAAAAACATATATGCTTGTAAAAATGATTGAAGGGGTTTTATCATTTATCTAAATAGTTTCTGATTATTTTTCTTAATCATTTCAGCTCTAAACTTGACTATTTCCTACAACCTGGCAATTCCAAAAGATATTCTCTTTGATGGTTTATAGCTGATCAATTAACGATAGTAAATAATTTATTGACCATTACTAAAGCCATTGATTACAACTTATTAATGCTTGATCAGACAGCAGTGTCTGTCTGTGTTAAACCAGACTCAACAGCCATTTTTAACATTTTCACAAACTTTCTGAAACTTGGAATCACATCTGAAACAAACCGTTTAACAAAGCACTGGGGTTTGGCATCAAGCTGTGTGTGTGTGTGTGTGTGTGTGTGTGTGTGTGTGTGCGTGTGTGCGTGCGTGCGTGCGTGCGTGCGTGTTTGTGTGTTTGGACCTCCTCCCCACTGCAGATAGACCCGACTTGGGGAGTCTGGTGGTTGGTAGTTGACGATGATGAAGAGTCTATAGGACAACACAGTCCGAGTCCTTTTCTCTTCTCCTGGCTCCGCCCTGTTGTGACCCCTGACCTCTGACCTACAGACACAATGACATCATCATCACCACAACAACGACACAAACACACACAAGCTTCAAAATTATTTTCAGATTTTTACACACAAAACATATTTATGTATTTTTTATACTTAAACTGCATTTTTCTGATAATACTTAAATACTTTTAGTGAATGTACATTTTCAATGCAGCATTTTCACTTGCAACAAAATATTTTTTCAGCATTGTAATAGTACTTATCAGTATTCTTCCTGTGTAGTTGTACCTGCTGTGCGGCCTGCAGTGATCCCTGTTGCTGCTGTTGCTGTTGTTGCTGGAGTTGCTGCTGTTGTTGGTATTCCTCCTGTTGGAGCTGTCGGGCCAACTCCAGGTCACTGAGGGGCCCCGGGGCCCCGCCCTGTTGCTGCTGCAGGGACACAGCCACCAGGTAGTCCTAACGCCGAAAAAGATCTGTGTTATTAGGTCAAAATTATGAGATATTAAGTCAGAATTATGAATTACTACGTCATAATTCCCTTAATGAATTTGACAGGATACTTGACCATAAATATGAGAGTAAAAGTCAAATTATGAGATAAAACATGCTGGACTAATTACAAAATCAAATTATTTCAATATCAGAAACTGACTTATGTCATAATAATTTTGAGGCCCTCAGTCATAAATTCAAAATAAAAAGTAAAAATTTTCAGTTATTGGGTCAAAGTGATGAGATAGTAATGATTAGCTCATAACTTTTCAATTCAAAGTTTGTTTGTTTGTTTGTTTGTTTATTTATCAGGGACAATGCATATTAATGAACAGTGAACTGTAAATATATCGGAATTAGCCAAAAGGCTAGTTTTCATCCGCAGTCCCTGGCCAGATCTGAGTTGGACTAAATGACTAAATATAAGTCAAATGTGCGACTTGGGACAAAATAGAGCCCGAGCATCCGCGGTGGGAAGACCCTCTTGAAACTGAAGGAATTATCATTATTTTCGCCAATGAATTGTATTCTGGGGGGGCTTACTCGTGAAACCTTGCACATATATCACATCTGGCGAAATTTAATATTTCAAGGGTCGCATACTCAGGTGCAAAAAAAATGGCTCAGTAGCATGCAATTCAGCACGGAGCAGATCATGCGGGGCAGGAAGTCGTGCACAGAAACAAAATAAAACTTCTGGTTAATTTTCAAAATAAAATACACAGTGTTCATGGCAGATCATATTTCCCTGCACTACACATTGAAAACGTCATAATGGGCAGAGGCAGGCCTGAAGTCAACAGGTCAGAGGTTTTCAGATGTCATTTCACCCCGTTGACACCATGGATGAGGAGATGTCAATCATGGAGGTGCACCGAGATGTCTTCCTACTACTCCTCTGGTTTTGTGGTTCTGTTTATAGAAACTACATCTAGTTATATCGCGCGATTATGCGTGAATTTGCGAGATCTCGTGGGTCCTCGTGACTCCCACTGTCCAGCGGAGCTGCACCGCTCCTCACAGCAAACGCAGCCGGTGGGTGTTGACAGACAGCGGAGCACGCAGCGGATAACAAGCGCAGCTGTTCCGCAACGGACATGCACCCAGAGGAATTCCGGCGTAATGCCGGTTTCACCTACATGTACGAAACTTGGTGGGCACATCTAACATCCCAAGACGTACAAAAAAAAGGCCTCTTGGACCCATTCTCTAAACCCAACAAGGAGGTCGGCCATTTTGAATTTACGGTGCAATTTTGGTGCATTTTTGGCCATTTCCAGGAGTCGTAAATTAACAAACTAGTCCTAGAGATTTTATCCAATCAACTTCAAACCTTGGTCTGCCCCACCGGAAGACCTTGAAGAAGAAAAGTTACTACAGGCTTGAGTTTTTGTCAAACCGTGTGACCCTGGCAAAGTGTCAAACTTAGGTGTGCCGACATGAAACAGGAAGTGGGTTATAACTCCAGCATACATGGTCCAATCTTCCCCAAACTTCACAGGATTGATGACAGTCCTGCCTTGAATACATCTTTATGCCAATATTTGGTATTACTCATAGTGCCACCTACTAGAAAGGTGGTGGTGACAGTCCTGCCCATAACACATGTACACATCAATAATTAGTAATAGTTAAAGCGCTCCCTACTGGTAACAGGAAATGACATGTTTTATACTTTGACGTTTATCTGCTACAAAGTTGACCAGATCCATCTCAAACTTGGTCAAACAAGCCATGAGACCTTGATGATGCTTAATTGTGGAAACTGTGAGTTTTCATCAAACAGCATTGCCATGAAGGCGGGGTGAAGGCCGACGTTAAGCCACAACACAACAATTGGTATTAACTTAAGTGTACTTGGTTCAATCTGCCTGAAACTTCCTTAATAGTCTAGATCTGGACAAGTTTTACGAGTTTCGTCAATGGCCGTGGCAAAATGGCTTGGCCAAGCATTTTTTTTTAATCCACTGCTCATTTTCATTCACTGCTGCTCATTATTATCCACTTCCTATTATTATTATTATTATTATTATTATTATTATTATTATTATTGTTATTGTTATTTATCGCCGTCTCTTGTATGTTTGTACTTTTTTGCATGCCTAGTTATTTAAGTTTTTTAAGTTTAAATTTGAAATCTTTAATCTGACTCTTTCTCCTTGACTGCTGTAACACTGGAATTTCTCAATTATGGGATCAATAAAGGTGTATCTTATCTTATCTTAAAGAGCAGCCCCTGTGGCATTTTTGACCAACATGCACAAAAATTGGTACACATATGTATCATGCCCAGATGCACAAAAAGTCTCTTAGACCCATTGCCTAAACCCAACAAGGAGGTCGGCCATTTTGAATTCTGTGGTCAGTTTTGGCAGACTAGTCCTAGAGATTTTATTCGATCCACTTCAAACCTTGGTCTGTCCCACCAGAAGACCTTGAAGAAGAAAAGTTATTACGAGCTTGAATTTTCGTCAAACCGTGTGACCGTGGCAAGGCGTCAAATTTAGGTGTACTGCCACAAAACAGGAAGTAGTTTATAACTCCAGCATACATGGTCCAATCTTCCCCAAACTTCACAGGATTGATGACAGTCCCCCCTTGAATACATCTATATGCCAATATTTGGTATTACTCATAGCGCCACCTACTGGCAAGGAGGTACTTCTTTTCAGACATATATCTTTTGATTTATGTGAAATTTACATGTTGTGGTCTATATCTGATGTACAAAATCATGACATATCATTAGTGCATTCTTCAGGGTCAGCACTGAATGGTGTGGGCATGGCGTGGCATCAGGTTTTAATGTCTCGCCATGAAACACGAAATTGCTATAACTTTAGAGTAAATGGTCCAATCTGCACCACACTTCATATGCTTGATAACAGTCTCACCCTGAACACATCTATATGACAATGTTCTGTCATACACATTGCGCCCCCGAGTTGCGCGAAGGTGCGAGGGCCAGTTCATTGCTGCTTGCAGCTTTGATTGCTAAGTATTTTTACTTTTGTCATTTTATCTATTTATTTAATTTTCGGTCAGGTTAGGGCTTCCATACCGTTGAAAAAGGAAGAAAATAAGCTCTGCAGTGAACAGAAGACATTTTATATGAATTATAGCATTAATACTTTGACACAACGTGTATTAAACCTGTGTGAAACAATTGCTGGAAGTTCGCAGCAAACGCATCCACTTTTTTTTTCTGAGATCGCATATTTGGTGATTTAAATCATTATTTTTTTATCATTTGTTCCTGTAAAATGTATTTCTTGAGTGGATGATGTTGGCTTTTTTTTAATTAAATATTGATACATTTGAAATGTTAATTAAATATTGATACATTTGAAATGATTGGCAATATTTCTTTCCAAAATGTGTTTAGAAAAAAGTGATATTAAGTGTCATAAAGACCAAGATACTCCGTTGTAATTAACATACACTAAAGGCCAAAAGATTGAGTCAGAGCTTATTTTTTGCAATTATTTTTTCTGCATTATTAAACCAGGTGGTTCTAACATCAACAAAGGAGATCTTTCACCATAACCAGGTAGTCCTAACACCAAGACAGACGATCTGTCACAATAACCAGGTAATCCTAACAACAACAAAGAAGTTATGTCACTTTAACCAAGTAGTCCTAACACCAACAAAGATCTGTCACTGTAACTAGGTAGTTCTAACACCAACAAAGAAGAGCTGTCAATATAACCAGGTAGTCCTAACACCAACAAAGAAGATCTGTCACTATAACCAGGTAGTCCTAACACCAACAAGGCAGATCTGTCACTATAACCAGGTAATCCTAACCCCAACAAGGAAGATCTGTCACTATAACCAGGTAATCCTAACCCCAACAAAGCAGATCAATCACTGACAGTCTCAGCTCAGTCACTTCCACCTGGTGGACCTGTCTCACCTGGTTGATGTGTCTCACCTGGTCAATCTGTCTCTGCTGCTCCTGGGCGCTGGGTGGCAGGTTGGTGGTGGGTTGAGCTCGTTGAGGAGGATGACACAGTCTGAAGTCAGAGTCGCAGAAGTTTCCGTCTCCCTCGACATTATGAAGAGACTCCCAGACCAAACCCTCTTCCTGTAGGAATCCCTGATCTGTCACCAACAGGTACAGGTGACCCTGAGGGAGAGAACAAAACTTTATTACCAACAGGTACAAGTGAGAGAGAAAACATACCTTTATTAACAACAGATACAGGTGGCCCAGACAGAGAAAGAGAGAGAACATAACTTTATTGACAAAAGGTACAGGTGTCAGGAAACTAAAATAATTTTAGAGTGTAACTCCACCTTGTGTTTGTTCATAGTGCTGAAGGGTGTGTTTGTGTGTTTGTGTTTGTGTGTTTATGAAGTTCCACCTTGTGTTTGATCATAGTACTGAAGTGGTTATTTCTGAAGAACACAGAGATTTCTCCCTCCTTGGCCGTTGTGTTGAGTTCACACAAACCATGATACGACAGCTGAGTCGCCGTCGACTCCAAAAACTGCTCTGCAACCAGACCTGCAGGGGACACACACACACACACACACACACACATAAACTAAGCACAAAAAGTAAGGAAATTTGTGTTTGGTAGATCATTTCTTTGTTGTAACAGTGCTTCCTGGCAATAAATCTTATACCATCGGAAAGCCTGTTTATTCTCCTTTTAAATGGTGCCACATTTGTAAGGAACATGCATTTGTGGGATGAGCAGCAGAGCTGAATATGTCGGTTGCCCCCATGAACAATTTGTCTAATCTTCTCTGCCAATGCCAAACAGTTTTTGTTGCTGTTGCTATTGCCCTCAGCACCTGTAAGCATGGGTCCTGCTACAGTGGTCAGTTGGTGTCTGCTCCAAGAATCAGCATACCACATTTGACTGATCTGGATAGGGCCCATGCAATAGGGCAACTTTAACCTGGTGTTCCACAAAACCAAGTTGCGGCATTATTTGGAGGTGCCCTAGTACCATCTGCAAACTGAAGGCCAAGTTCCATATAACGGGGGATTTCAGAGACAGGCTGCAAAGTGGGCATCCCAAGAAGATGGCACCCCAAGAAGACCGTTTCCTCATCCTGTCAGCACTAAGAAACAGTGGGCAGTCTTCTACAGATTTGCAGTTAAGGTTTGCAGGACGATATGGCCGATGGCTTTGCCCAGACAATCCGGAACAGACTGCACGCAGCAAATCTCTGGTCTCATAGGGCTGCCAGGAGGCCTGCCATGACTGCCCTTCGCAGTCAGGCCCATTTGCGCTAGTGTCAGCAACACATGCACTGGAACCTGAACATGTAGAGGAACGTTATGCTCAACTATGAGTCCAGATTCTGCCTATGGCAGTTGGATTGTAGGGTCAAAGTGTGGAGAAGATGCGGAGAACGCTTTGCTGATTGCTGCACCAATGGAGTAACATCTTTTGGTGGAGGCAATGTGATGGTGTAGGGCAGCATCTCCCTCACTGAAAAACAAGGCTTGTCATCATCGGAGGCAATCTCAATGCAGAGAGATATCGAGATGAAATTCTGCAACCAGTGGCAATCCCATATCTCCATAGTCTGGGAGTGAACTCTATCCTCCAACATGACAACGCTCGCCCCCACAGAGCGGGGTTTATCAGAGACTACTCCAGAATTTGGGAGTGGAGAGGATGGAATGGCCTGCCAGCAGTCCTGACCTCAACCCCATTGAACACTTGTGGGATCAGTTTAGGCGTGCTGTTTGTGCCAGAGCAACCAACACAATCACGCTGGCTGACTTGCAACAAACACTGGTTGAAGAATGGGGTGCCATCCCACAGCAGTGTGTGACTAGGCTGGTGACCAGCATGAGGAGGAGGTATGTTTCATCCACACGCTGCTGCGGTTCCTCTTTGTTAAATGAACAAATTGTTAAATTGCCAATATGTCTTGTTTCTTCAGACTTCAATCATCCAATCCACCAAACAAGAGTCCAAAAAAAAAACTGTTTGGCATTGGCAGAGAAGATCTGGCAAATTTTCATGGGGACAACCAACACACTCAGCTCTGCTGCTCATCCCACAAATGCATGTTCCTTACAAATGTGGCACCATTTAAAAGGAGAATAAACAGGCTTTCCAACGGTATAAGATTTATTGCCAGGAAGCACTGTTACAACAAATAAATGATCTACCAAACACAAATTTCCTTACTTTTTGTGCTTAGTTTATAAATACACACAGAAATAAACAGAGAGGTGTTTGTTCAGCATGATTCATCAAACCTTTGTGTTCAGTCATTGCACTGGCTGCTGTCTGCAGAGTGTGTGTTTATGTGTATATATTGATGTTTATATTTGCATATGTGTGTGTTTGTGTGTGTTACCTTCACTGACTCGGCTGCTGTCAGCTGAGTGTTTGTAGTCGATGATTTTCTCCACCAGCTGGTTATAGCTCAGTTTCCCCACAGAAGCAACCATCTCTGGACTCTGAACACACAAGAAGCATCAGTAAACGGCTCTGTAAACGCAGCACGGGCGAGGCTCTCCATGACTTCTTTCTTTCCTCAGCAGCAGTTTGTGACGCGCAGAGTGGATAACTGATCTGTCCATCTGTTCAGAGCTGATCAGATTACACCAGTGTATAAGAGGAGCAGCTGCTAGGAGTGAATACAAACTTTAAGACGCAGCAGAATGAATGGTTAACATTCACTTTTAATGCCTCTGATGTTCTGCTGCTCCGTCTTTGTCCTGAATGTACTCTGCGCTCTAGTCTCGCTCACCAGACCTTTCTAAAGAAAAGAAAGGTCTGGCTGGGCTGACTCTCACTTTAAGACTGGAGAAAAAACGCCCCGGCTGCTTGTATTTCTTTCAACCAATCACAATCGTTCTTGGCAGTGCCACAGCAACGGTGCGCTTGCAAAAATATTGCCGGGGTGAAACAGGTTTTGGTGTAACACGCCCACAAAAATATCGCCTACAGGACGCGAACCATGGCAGAAAAATGGCTACATCCCCGCAAGATCAAACACCGCAAAAGTTAGTAAAGGACGTGCTGGAAACTGCAACCGGAGGTGGTAGGACGGGACTTCAGCGGGTGGCTTGTTCCGCCCAATGAGAGGCTGATCTTTGCAGCGAACTTCCACCCACTCAGATTATCTGCGGTCTGACAGTGTTGTGTAAATAACCTAATGGTATATATAATCCAATAGTGCTACTACTGAATGGTTCAGCTCCAAAGTTAGAATCTAATCTTAAATCTATTTGTCAGTGGCGGCTGCTGGTCTTTCAAACAGGGGAAGCTCACTTTAAGTTTACATCATAAAATTTGTCATATTGTAGCAAGGCAGTAACTTATAAAAGGAACATTTAATTGAAGCCGTTTTTCAACCACACTCATGCCATAGATCCACAGCAAAACACACCACAAAGATTTTCAGATGGCTTTAAACACCTGAACTGTACTGTATAAATGGTGAAAATGAGCTATATCGCTTATGGAACTCCGGACGGCATTCTGTCAGAAGAAACACAAAAAGACTGAGCTCGAAATGTGAAGCGCTGTCCATCACAAAGCGGTTCAGCCTTTTAGAGAGTTCCTTCAATCATCATGCCTACCGCTCCATTAGGTCCCAGGAAAGCTAAGCCTCCCTGGAAGTGACGATTTTGTCGCATTTATCCAATGACCGTCTCGCTTTGCTACATGAAAAAAACCTGCTCAGTGCTGTCTCATAGGAATGCTTGGAGGCTCCGCATCCACCGTGCGGACACAAGAATGTATGACAGGGAGGTCGCATTTGAAAACTGGTGATAAACAGCTGATGTTTGAACATCATAGTCATGATGTGAAATGCATCCTAGCGCATGTTTAATGCAATGTAAATTCTTATTTTAATGTAAATTCAATAGTGCATATTTGACCATTTCTTCTATAAAATTTTAAGGGAAGTTCAGCCTGCCCCCTGTAGTTTATTTTGACTCAATCCGACATACAAATCCTCACTGAAGTACCAAGTATGGATTAATCCACTGCTGAAAACAGTCCCCAACAAAGTCACTATTTCCTCCTGTTTGGTTAATAAAAACTACAGTGAGCAGCTGTTTTACGAAAATACTGATGAAACTATATATATTTGATGATCATCAGTAAGAACCAGTGGACTTCTGTGTGTGTGTGTGTGTGTGTGTGTGTGTGTGTGTGTGTGTGTGTACCTGTGGGTCAACCAGCCAGCCATGGTACAGCGGGATGTCCAGCAGGTCGAACACGATACACTCAGGTGTGTACTCAAAGTCTGTCACCCCGGTAAAACGCACATTAACGTCCAGACCCGTGGACAGCTTAGGGAGCACCGCCATGGCATCACTCATATTCTGACACACACACAGGGTCACATGTCAATCATGGCTCCACAGGAGCTTTTAGTTTAACTTTGCAGGTGAACATGTTTGAGATTTCCTGCCTAAACTTTATTGCTAATGTCACCTAGTTTTCCATGAGACAGTAAAAAAAAAAAAAAAAGTGTGTGTGTGTGTTTACCTGTTGGAAGTTGAGCTCCATCCCATCAGCCTTCTCTCTCGGTGTAACAGACAACACACACTCTCCTGCACAACAAACACACAAACATCAGCTGATCACATCTGACATAATTTCACTTAAAATAGATGACATTCTGTAGTGAATCTGGGGTTTTATTTTTAGTAGTTTTGTCCATCACTTCCGTCTGATGGTCTGTCAACATGTTTGCAGATCTCAAACTTATTTGCTCTGGTCTGCCTCTCATATGGACAGACCAATCACGACCATTTATCTAATATGGGGCAAGTCTGATACAGTGACTTCAAGATAATCACCATTAAGGCATTTTTGTAAACAACTAATATATGTTTAAGGTTTTGTTGAATCCGCTATAACGTCAGTGTTGAAAAAATTGGATGTTTTATTTTCTGTAAAAGAAAAACAAAAAACTGCTCTCAAAGGGAAACTTTGCCGATTTTCAACCCGCTCTGTGTTGTTGTTGAGTGGGCAGTACATGCAAATGAACAATACTCAACCTCCCACTGTCTTTTCAATGCCCAGAGCTCCCAGCTCATCTGACAGCGGGGGTTCCCCAGGCAGGGGAAACTGGGCAACAAATTCAGCCCGGGACATTCAGGTCCACCCGCCAACACACCGGCCCACACATTTCTATCCTCTATACACTATACACACTACACAAACGCTGTCCTCAGAATCAACTGCATAAGAAAATCAGCAGTTATTGTTTAATTCCAGACTATAAAATAAATGCAATAATGAATTGGCCACAAATGGCTTTGTGCTTATTATTTATCTTAAAATAAGAGTATATGACTCTATCCTAATGCATCTAATTTTATGCACAATATAATTGTCTGCCCTGTTCTTGTATTACATAAGCCCAGTTTATATCTCCATGGCTCACAGCCATGAACTAAGGAGGTATAAATTGGGCAATAGGCCCTATAGTCAACTTTTAGTCAACTTAATACTACAACAAAAAAATCCCACTACTAAAAAGGTTTTCCTCTGGCTAAAATGTAATGCATAGTAGGCTATGCCTTCACATCGCACCCATCATATTTCTGGTCTCATCCTCCTCCTCATCACGACTGGGGTTAGTCTGTCCCTCAGCTTCATTGTCATTGGGACTGAGCATCATCTAACGTTAATTGCATGATACATCCACAGGAATAAAGCAAGCACATATTTTCTTTTAGTACAGGTCTAAACTATAATGACTTAATGCAATACCTAGTAGGCTAGTTGGTCTCTTGAACTGGATACCTAGAAGATATACGCAATTTGCCAAAGCCAACCTTGCACACTACACACTCACAAACGCTAGCTAACGTTAATGCACCTGCTATGGCACTGTCGGCTCCAGCTCCTTCTCTGTCGTTAGCAACACCAGCAGCCTCAGCCCGTCGACCAATGCCGCGGCCAAACAGGTCGGTTATTTTGGAGCATTTTGCTGCCTCTTCTTGAAAGATTTAAGTTTTTTTATTCAAGTTTTTCCGCGCCACCCTTTCTTTTTTTTACCGGCTTTATCCATGTTTTCTGTCTAACGGTCAAACTAGCCTGGTCTGCCATGAGTAAAGACTGATGACTCGACTGAGCCAATCAGATTTCAAGAAAAACAAGGGCCTCTTTCGTATTGGAGGAGGCAGCTCTTATCTCCTCCTTCAAGCATCAAAACAAAAGATTGACACCTACGTTCCCTCTGAACATCTCAACAGCAAACAAACAACATGGGAGGGACACGCATTGCAGTACTGACAGCTAGCAACTAGCTTGACATTCAGTAGTCTTTTTTTCTTCTTTTCTTTCTTTGACCACCGGGCCAGCCCCACCGGCCCACACCAGCCCACTTGGTGACTGGTCCATCGGGATTCGTCCCGAACGTCCCGATGGCCAATCCATCATTGCCAGGTGGTGCTCCGGTCGCTGGTAGCACAGAGAAAGGGCAAACAGTGCTCATCTACCCACACTGCAATGACACAGAGCTAGTTGGATATTGATTAAGTTTTTCTTTGAAGCTTTAGTTGAGAAAAAAAATGTGTTTGCTGCATATCTGACAGGATTCAGTAAAAGTTTAATTTACCAAGTGGCCACGCTGGTCACCAAAAGATGAGGCACAGTGACAAGTTTGTTGCAGGTCTATCCAATTGTGTCCAAAGAAATTTTGATCTATAGCCACTGAAAACACACCGTGGAAGTCTCTACGTCGATGCAGAGTCTATGCCGTAGGTATGGTGTCGATTTGACATCCCACATCCCACAGTTATAAATCCCACATAACAGGATACGTGGTCAGCCAAATGAATATGAACTTAAAATGCTATTTATTTCTAATCTGTGAAGTTAAAGTAAAGGAAAATGTTTTCAGCTTACGAAAATAGACAGGTTTCTGTGGCTGCAACGTTTAGTCACATTTCTGGGGATGTGCACGTCAGGCTATGGCGTATGTTACGGCATAGGTTCAGAGCCGATTGGACGTAGAAGTATAAATACCGCTTAACTTGCATTTGTTGTGTCAGAATAATTTACTTAGTGAGTACACATTTATCAATACTGACTGAAATAATGGACACCAGAATTATGATTTAATTTTATTTTTGACAGGAAGACTTCTGAAAAAAAAAATAAAAAAAAAAAACAATGATCATTTTGACAAATTAATCATTGAAGTCAAACTGAAATCACATTTAGTCAAAAGTAATTGTTTCTAAGAGCTGGGTAGGCTGTTTTATTTTGTCGTCATTTGGCAAAAATCCCAAGGTAACCTTTGAGCATATTGTAGACAGACTTGCAGACTTTGTCCAATCACAGGTCATTTCAGTGAGAGAGTGTTCCTATTGGCTGTTCTACAAATGAAAATGCACGTGCACATCCCTTCTGTGAAAGCCTGATTTAATGGTGAAGAATCCTGCAGAGAAAGTTGCTTTTTTCAGAACTGGCAACAACTGCCTACACTGCAAAGATGGACTGAACGAAAAGAGAGTTTGACAACTAATGAAGTGAAACACGTGACAATATCGGTGAAGTGTTTCAGAGATACATTGTAAAGGGATAGTGCACCTAGAAATGAAAATTCAGCCATTATCTACTCATCCTCATGCTGAGGGAGGCTCAGGTGAAGTTTTAGAGTCCTCAGAGATCGGCGGGGGGAGTGGCTAGCACACCTAATGGCTGACGGCGCCCCAGACTAACGTCCAAGAACACAAAATTGAATCCACAAAGTATCTCCATACTGCTCATCCGTAGTGATCCAAGTGTCCAACATGTCTGAAGACTTTGAAATTGAGGAGGAACAGCATTTCTTTGTTGAGCCGTATTTGTTTGAGCCCGAGTATACGGACGGAACTCAGGCTACTGGACGAAGCAACTGCCGCAGCTCATGAGCCTAGCCCTCAGCCAGCCAAAGAATACCAGAGTCGAGAACTGGAAACCTGGTGGTGTAGTTGTTTCAAATGCAAAGCAATGCCAATGGATGAGGAAAGTCTTTGCTGCTCAGACTGGGAATTGGCGATGCCTGCACTTGAGAATTTGGACATCAGTACTGTCGAGACTGCTGCTCTTCAGAGACCGTGCATCACCGATCACCATGAGTGCGCACATGTGAGCACTGAGCACAGAGAAGCAGTCAGAGCTACAGGCTACAGTGAGGCTAAAAACAGAGTTAAATGACGTTTTTCGAAACAACTTTTTATGTCGGGGCTTCAGGACACTTGGATCACTACGGATGAGCATGTTGGAGATATTTTGTGGTTTCAATTTTGTATTCTTGGACGTTAGTCTGGGCCGCCATCAGCCATTAGGTGTGCTAGCCACTAGGGGTGTAACGATACATCAATCCACATCGATTCATTGATTAACGATCAGATTACATCGACGCAAAATGAAAACATCAATCCATATCGTCATCTTAAAGATACACCTTTATTTTGAAATTCACATAGCACGTCTGTGTCACCATTTCCGGGCAAGCGCGCCTCCACTCAAACAACAAACAGCGCCGCCCGGGCAGTTCATGGCAAGCAGCACGGAGAAAGACGGCGATGAAATTCGCTCTCCTCTCGGGAATAAGTCGGCGGTCTGGAAATATTTCGGATTCCGGAGGAAAGACGGCTCAACAGACAAAACACTAGGGACGTCCCGATCCAGCTTTTTCACTTCCAATCTGATACCGATATTACAGCCTTGAGTTTTTGCTGATACTGATCTGATCCAAGCATGTATTATGCCTATTCACTTATTTTGTTGTCAGTCATGTTAGAAAAGGTTTGATCAAGCAATATTACTCTATCAAGAACAACTACTTAATCAGGTTAGTTAGAATGATCCACAACAGTTGGTATGAGAAACTGACCTGTTTATTGTTAACAGGGTTAAATAAACAAACTTTAAACTTGAACATTAACATTAAATGAAAAATATAGCTGGTTTGCTTTGGCTGCTTTGGCTCCTTAATAAATAGAAAATAAATCAACACAAGAAATCTTTAAATTTGTCTAACATTGAAATTAAAATAGCAGCAAGACTCCACACACTTGTGCTTTGCCCCCTAATAAATAAAAATAAGATTAACACCACAAGACATTGTTGACATTTAACAAACAATGCAGCCTTTCCTTTTCAGTTATTTTTGTAGTGTCAGTTTCTGCCTGGTGCTGCTGTTTCCTGTGTGTCTGCATGCTGGCCTGGTGGATTGATAGTAAGTGCTGGAGCAGATCACTGGAATGGACTGCTTGAATCGCGGAGCTGGCCGGAAAACCTGGATCGGATTCCACAAAAACTGGATCGGAGTTCTTGGATCGGCATTTTTCCATGCAGTCCGATCTGATGCTGACGCACGTTTTTTGCTAATATCAGTGGCCGATACTGATCTGAATATCGGATCGGGACATCCCTACAAAACACACGCCATATGCAAACAATGCCAGTGCGAGTTGAAATACTCGGGAAACACAACGAACTTGGCTGGGCACCTAAAGAAGAAACATGGCATTGACCCGCGTGCTAACGTTAGCTCCAGCGTTACCGTGCCAGAAGCCTACACACCAGCTTTGACAACAACAACAAACCAAAAAGAGCAACAAGTATCACGGGTGCCATTTCATATTTTATTTGCAAAGACATGAGACCTTACACTGTTGTCGAGAATGATGGCTTTCGTGAACTACTGCATACTCTGGAGCCGAAATACACAGTACCATCAAGACAGCACTTCAGTGAAACGTGCATACCGAGACTGTGCACTCAAGTTAAAGATGAAGTTAAACGTGAGTTACTGCATGCAGACAGAGTCGCTATCACTACAGATGGATGGACGTCATGTACAACACAAGCCTACGTAACTGTAACCTGTCATCATATTGACAATGACTGGCAAATGAAGAATTATGTTCTTCAGACACGGATTTTGAACGACGCACACACAGGAGTAAATATTGGCACAGTTTTGAAGGCGGCATGCGAGGAGTGGAATTTAAGCGACAAAAACCCTGCGCTTGTAACAGTGCATAAAACAGCAACATGTCTGTCGCTGGAGTAGAGGCAAGTCTGTCACCGCACATCAGATGCTTTGGGCATACTATAAACTTGGCCACACAGAAAGGCCTGAAATGTGCTGGTGCTGCACGTCTTCTGGGGAGAGTGAGACGGGTCGTGTCATTTTTCCACCGCAGCACAGTGGTGACCTCGCTTTTAAAAGAGAAGCAGAAGTTGCTCTAACTTCCAGAACACAAGCTAAAACAAGACGTAATCACAAGCTGGAACAGTTCGTTTGAAATGTTAGAATAGTTTCTGGAGCAACAAGCTGCGGTGTATGCTTCACTCCTGGACAGAAAACTGAGGAAAGGTGCAAATGACGTGCAGACACTCAGCAAAGGAGACATCTCTGCAGCTGAAGACTTAGTTAAGCTACTCGGACCAGTAAAAAGTGCCACCACCATCATGTGTGAGGAACAGCAGCCCACGGTATCTATGATTGCACCACTCAAAGCTAAGTTGTTGGAGCATTACAGTATCTCAGAGGAAGACTCCACTTTAGTGACAGAGATGAAGCAGACAATGACCCAGGAGCTTCAGCAGCGATATGTGGACGTGCAGCAAGCCCTGCTGAGAGCATCTGCCTTAGACACAAGGTTCAAGAAGCTGCCATTCTTAAGTGAGGAGGAGAGAGATGCAACTTTCCAGTGTCTCATACAAGAGGCTGCGGAGCTGTGGGACGAGAAAGTAAGATAATATTTTTTTGTTTGTGGTAGAAAAGCTATTATTCGTGAATATATTAATTACTTCTTTTATTGTTGACATGATTTACATTTACATTTGCGTGTGTGTGTATGTGTGTGTGTGTTAATCATCTACAGAATGGCACAGTGGCACAGGTTGAGAAAGCACCTCCTCACTCCTCATCTGATGACCCAGCACCACCTCACTCATCTGGTGACCCAACCTCTGATCAACCTGACTTGGTGCCTGCTTCCCAGGTTCAATCCACTGAACAAGGTGTGTGTTTCCTTTTTGTGGACAGTGTTTGATTCAATGTTATAGACAAGTGAATGAGTGCATTAAAAAATAAGCTAATAAGTGTTTGGAGTGTGTACAAAAAAGATATTTTGTCCTCTGAAATATTAAAATCTTGTGTTCTGTGTCATTTTAGATTATGTCCCCACTTCCAAGAGGTCAAAGGTACTTGAGGATCTCTTTGGTGACACCTTATTCACTGTGGACCCTAGCCAGACTGCCAAGACCTCCAGAGAGCTAGCCCATGCTGAGGTTGCTAAGTATAAAGACACTGCATCTTTGATCCTGGGAGGTAGTGTGTTAAAGTGGTGGAAAAGTCATCAGACTGAGTTTCCCCTCCTGGCCAACCTTGCCAAAACTTACCTCTGCATTCCTGGTACCAGTATACCCTCTGAGCGTGTATTTAGCACTGCGGGTGACATTGTGCGTTCAGAGCGTAGCGTTTTGTCTCCTGAACATGTTCAGTTTATTTTTTTGAAGAAAAACCTCTGAAACAAGAAAACTGGAGGACATACTTAGAGATCTGTCAGTAAGCTATGATAAAAGCCAAAGAGCTGTCACCACATTTCTGATAATTACACTCAAAGGACTTTGTTGAAGTATTTTACTAATACAATATGCACTAAGAAGATGTGGAATTGTTTACATTTGTTTTGTTCTAATTTGTTCTCCAGCTGAAATTGCTTATTTTGGTTAAGAAAAATATATATAAGATGTAGTGGATACTGGATACAGTAGCTGTGATGCAGGGCGACTGTACTGTATTTGCACTTTAAAGTATAGGTTAAGACCTTGGTTAAGTTCTAACTGTTAAAAATACTGTGTTTATGAGACACAAAAGAGTGAAGGTTTACAAAAATCTTGCTTTAATGTATAAAAAAATGGGGACTTAAAGTTCTTTCAGTTTTGTTTTATAGGATGTGAATGTTTTAAAGCTGAATATCTCTTACGTTTGTTTCTGTATGACTGAAAGGTCATCAAGGGCTCTAAGTTAACTGATAAAAAAAGTGCACTTAAACATGAGAAATGTGAGACAGAAGAATACTGTTTTTCATTTAAATGCCTGATACCTGGAAGAGTTCAAAAATAAAAGGGTCAAATCATATTCTAGTTGTTTTTGTGAGTTGATGTAAATGATTGTGTTAGATGGGCATATGATATCGCATCATATCGATCGCAGGCTCCTGAATCGAATCGAATCGAAATCGTATCATGACAGACATCGTATCGTCATCCAAACAAATCGATATAATATTGTATCGTGATGAAGCTGGTGATTTACACCCCTACTAGCCACTCCCCCCGCCGATCTCCGCAAGGGATGTGAGGACTCTAAAACTTCACCAGAGCATTCCTCAGCATGAGGGTGAGTAGATAATGGCTGAATTTTCATTTTTGAGTGCACTATCCCTTTAAGTAAGAACCAGTGGACTTGGAGCTGAGAGACACACAGGAAAGTGTGTGTGTGCGTGTGTATGTACCCAGGTGAGCCATCAGGTCCTCAGTGGTGACAACTTCTGTCTGAGCGGGAAGTTTAGCCTGAAAACACAAAGAGTTACTACAATTAACAAATACTACAACATAAATATAAACATGAAGCAGCGTGTCTCCTGATGAAGATTAAAGAGTCAGCTCACTCCACAACTGTCACTGTGTTTTTGACAGGGGTGGAAGATGTACTTTAACATCAGTAAAAGTATTGATACCACAGCGTAGAAATACTCTGTTAGAAGTAAATAAAATTTTACTTGTGTTTTACCTTCCAGCGGAGGAACAAAGTGTTCATGATAGCCAGCAGGGGGCAGGGTCCGTTCTCACTCTGAGTGATGATAGGAGTCTTCTTCTCTTTCCAGGTGATCCACTTCACCAGGTAATATGCTGGCATGGATGGCCCCGCCTCTGGAGCAGCAGCAAGAGGAGCAGCAGCAGCAGCTACAGCACCCCCTGTGGACAGGAAGACAATTACAGTCACACATACTGATTAGTGATGTCATGAGAACCGATACTCGCGATACCTTTTGATTCCATGTTGAAAAAACCCGGGCGATAATCATATTTTTTGAAAAACCGGAAGAACCGATACCAGCGTAAAAATCGGTGCTATGACTCTTCCGGAACTGATGGCGGCAGTATACGCCATATAGTGTTACAGTCCATGCCAACATTCAGAGCGAGGGGGTGACGAGGAAGAGGAGAGAGCGGTTGCCCGTTAAAGCCCAAATTCAGAACCAGTCACGGCTGCACTTTTGGCAAGAAAATAGATCTGCTAGCAATATATGCAGTTTTAAACACCACTTTGTCTGTTTATTAATTGCTTTTAACACGTTTCGAATTGCTTCTGAACCGTCCGTGCTCCGTGCAGAGCTTTGTCCAGACTCTGGACATCTCCCTCTCTCCTCCAGGGAGAGAGTCCGGTGGTCTCCTATGAGCCCAGCCTTCGAGACTTGCAACGCTCCGTTAAATGTCATTCAGTTCATCAAAAAAAATATCCCAATTAAAATCAGTAGCATAATAAGCAGATATGTTCCATGTTATTTTGTTTAATTTCAACAACACAGAGAACAGCTTGAACAAGCTGCGTAGAGCTAACAATCAGGGATTTCACTCTCAGCAGTACCTGACCGCGCATGCACGTCTACTTCCGAAACACAGTGGTTGGGGTGCGTTTGAATTATTGTACCGGGACGTTTGATTTTTCCACAACTAGACCATGGACGTCAAAAAACAGCATTTGCACTGGGACAGGACAAACAATAAATGAAACCAACGAAATTCCAAACATTCTTGTGGTTGGCTCCAACGCTGTCAGTGTGATTTAAATAGTAAATATTTAAATAGTTTGAGTTTATTGCGGATATTGATCAATGTTTTTTACAATGAAAAATAGGTAAAGAGGAGTAAGTAATATCAATCTGTTGATAGAAATGTTATTTATATGCAAATATTTTAATAAAACATTTCTTGTTTAAGTACAAGGTGTCTTAGGATTTTTTTTAATTTTTTTACCGTGGTATCGACTTTGGTATCGAGAATCGTGTAATTTTACTGGTAATGGCACCAACTACTGAATTTTGGTATTGTGACATCCCTAATACTGATACAGAGATCAGGAGGAAGTATTCAGATCTTACTGCATTAGTAGTACAAATACCAAGGGCAAGGCTGTGGCCGCCTAGAAGGTGCTTGTGATTGGGAAATGCAAGTAGATTTAGGGGGAAAGCTTGTTGTTCCCCAGGAAATAGTTTGTACCAGGCAGAGGCCTGACTTAGTGTTGTGGTCAGTGAGTCAACGGATAGTTTATTTCATTGAGCTGACAGTTCCTTGGGAAGACTAAGTGGAAGAAGCCTATGAAAGAAATAAGCTTAGATATGCAGACTTAGGATCAGAAGCTGAGTAGCAAGGATGGAAAACTAGGATTTGAGAAAGCCATGTGTAAGTAAGGTAAAGGAGGTTATTGGGTTGGTGTGGGGAGCAGTGAGACCTGGCATTAGGGGAGTGTCTCTGGGACACCAGAGATCATTGTCTAGCCTCCTGGAGGTGTCGTGGGACCAACTAGACGAAACACTGGTGAAAGGAGGTTCCCACCCGATGACCCAAAGACATGTAAGTTATCACTGCTCACTGGTCTGTATAGTTAAGCCTTGTCATAATAGCTTATCATAGGGGCTTAGGAGTTATTCACTGAGTGCTGATCCTTTCTCTAGAGCACAAACTTCTTATGTTTATTTGAATTGAATGTTTACACAAAATTCTGACCCTACCATCTGAATGTCGCAGCAGAAATCGAGACTCATCAGAACAGGCAACATTTTTCTAATCTTCTATTATCCAGTTTTGGTGAGCCTGTGTGAATTGTAGCCTCAGTTTCCGGTTGCCAGCTGACAGGAGTGGCACTTGGTGTGGTCTTCTGCTGCTGTAGCCCATTTGCTTCGAGGTTCGACGTGTTGTTGTTTCAGAGATGGTCTTCTGCATACCTTGGTTGTAAAGAGTGGTTATTTGAGTTACTGCTGCCTTTCTATCATCTTGAACCAGTCTGGCCATTCTCCTCTGACCTCTGCAATCAACAAGGCATTTTCGTCTAGAGAACTGCTCACTAGATATTTTCTCTTTTTCAGGCCGTTCTCTGTAAACCCTAGAGATGGTTGTGTGTGAAAATCCCAGTAAATCATCAGTTTCTGAAATACACAGACCAGCCCATCTGGCACCAACAACCTCTTTTTTTATTAAAGAAACTAAGAACAAAAGGTCACCATGGGTGTTACAAGGTCAAATCACAGTACTTTTTTCTTTTTTCCTTTACATATATACACAATCTATTTCTCCCAGTATTTTGTATGTTTTTCCATCTCAAGTCTTAAAATAAAAGAAAGTCTTTCCATACAGTATATTTCATATATAATCCCCAACCATTGGGCCAATGTTGGAGGATCAACTTCCAACTATTTGTGAGTTATGGCTTTCCTGCTACCTGCCAAAAGTATCTTTAATAAATACTTATCTTTGTGTGGGACAGTTTCAGGTATTTTTCCTAAGTATAATGTGACAAATGAATAGACATACCAATTATCTTAATCTCTTGCCAATAGAGTTGGTTTTTTGGGCATGCCCAGAAACTAGAAAAATGAATGTCTAGTGAGGTTCCACATTAAATTAAAACAAATATCGCGAAAATTTGAAAGGAACTGGTGATTAACCAAACTGGAAGAATCTTGTTTAGTCTGGGAAGACAGTCTCAACGTATAGGATGGCCCCCCACAATGCCAGAGCAAACTATTACTCATCATTATTAGAAGAAAATAAGAACAACGCCAGGTTTCTTTTCAGCACTATAGCCAGGCTGACAATGCATGTCACTAACTCAGCTTCTTCTCCGGAGCCTTTGTGCTCCACTGTCTGGCAGGTTACCTCGTATTGCAGCTGTGCCTGGATCATGTGATATGGTTGTGCTGCTGCCGTGGTCCTGCCTGATGCCTTCTACTGCTGCTGCTATTATTAATCATACCTCTACTATTATTATACACATATAATTACTGTCATGTCAATTACTGTTAATGTTGTGAGCTTCTGTCATTACTGTCAGTCCTGCATCTCTCTCTCTCTCTGTCTCTCTCTGTTTCTGTCTCTCTTTATGTATCATTTTGTCATATGGATTATTGTAAATTTATTATGTTGATCTGTTCTGTACAACACCTGAGGTTTCTACCATTTTTTGTCCCCCGTTAAAAGTTTTTTTGGGGGGAATTTTTCCTTATCTGCTGTGAGAGTCCAAAGGACAGAGGGATGTCATATGCTGTAAAGCCATCTGAGACAAATTGTGATTTGTGATATTGGGCTTTATAAATAAAACTGATTGATTGATTGACACTGCCTCCAACAAAAGCCTTGGCTCTGTAGGCCTGTTCGCAGTACTGTTAGTCTTGGGGTGATATAGAATCGCATAAGGTTTTTCCAACTAAACTCCCTCAAGGACCTTGAGTTTGCAGTAGCTGCCTGTGTCTAACATATCTCTGTCCAGTCTAACTTGCAGGTATCTGTAACTATATATAAGTCCTGCTTTTCTAGTCCAAATGTCTTGATATATCCCGATCGCTCTGTAATTTTCTCTTGGAGATGACCGAACAGAAGACGTGATACCTCTTCTGACCCACAGTTTAAATCTCCCATCCAACCTAGTAAGTTCAAATCCTGGGTCAAATGCTACCCAACTCAAGAAGTTTCCTCAATACCTCATACTGCAGTCTAACAGAAAATAAGGTCCATTGTTTCAGTTTACTATAGCTCCTTTTAGCCTGACTTTTGTTGCCTAAAAGATGTCTGTATTGGAATATCTATGTGAGTAATTTCCAGTCTTCCATTCAGATTCATAGTCTGATTCATACCAACATACTACAGGTTTCAATTGTGCAGCATAATAATAATCTTGTAAGCATGGTAAAGCTCTCCCTCCCCTTTCTTTTGTCATCTGCAATGACTTGAACCTTACCCTTGGCCTTCTACTGTTCCAGATGAACATCAGAATCATCCCATCCCATTTGTTAAATTGTTTTTGGGGTATTTCTATTGGCAGTGATTGGAAGAGATAGAGCAACCATGGTAACAGAGTCATTTTAATTATTTCTATTCTATTACTCATATCTAATGGGAGAGGTGTCCATCTAGAAAATATCAGATTCCATGTCCTATGGCCATAATTACTTTCAAAAAAGTTTGAACAGGTCTTTTGTTCAGTTAATTCCCATTTATTTTATTGAGGGAGAGTTCCATTTAAAATCATATTTCCTCCACATGTCTAGTTGAGGGGTAAAGTTGTAAGTGAGGGTTTGAGTTTTTTGGACGTTTAATTTATATCCACTATGGACTATGTATACGTTTTTTTAAAATGGGTCATCGATTTGGGGATGCTGGACTCAGGGCTTGCTAAGAAAAGCAGAACATAATCTGCAAACATACAGTTCCTGTGTTCTTCTCCTCTAATCTCAAGCCCCCTTATATCAGAATTTTCTCTAATTGCTTGGGCAAAGGGTTAAAAAACAAAGCAAACAGGGCCAGGCTCAGAGGGCAGCGCTGGCGAGTCCCCCTTTCCAGATAGATTGATTGCGTAGGTGGCCATTAACTCTGATGCTGGCTATTGGTGAGAAATATATATCAAGCTTTAATGTACTTGACAAAGCAATCCGTAAATCCGAACCTAACAGGCACCCTATATAGATATTCCCAATCCATGGAATCAAATGCCTTTTCAGCATCTAAGCTGACCAGCATTGCACTAATATTTTCTTCTGTAATATGACTCATCACTTGAAGTGTTCTCCTTAAGTTATTCTTTGTCTGCCTATTTTGTATAAAACTTGTTTGGTCTAAATCTATCAGTTCAGGGATAATGGTCACAAGTCTCTTAGATAGGACTGACGCAAATAATTTATAGTCTATGTTTAAGACCGATA